TGGATACAACTATTTATATTGCATCTTTTCAACCAAGTTAAATGTCCCGCTTTAAATGATGTGCAGCTTGTAAAGGCTTCATAAAGCCTTCATAAACACTACATAAATGTGTTATCATCTACAAGCGTATATCATGCTTTATAAAGGGTTCATAAATGTGGCATAACCGTGTGACACAACCACCCATCTCAAATGTGACTTAACCCACTATGTCATATATGACAAACCTGTGCTTTATAAAGGGTGGCATAAGCACCGCTTAATAAAGGCCGGCCTATAATAAATCATATATAAAAGGTCAGCTCTCTCAAAAGCAATAGGGTTAAGGCTTTATAACCTCGGTCATAGGCAGGTTGGTAACCCTGCAGCATGTTGGTAGAGCATTGCAATATAGAACAGTCAACAAATAATCTGGGTTAGTGGGTTCGATTCCCAAGACCACCCACACGGAAAAATATATTCACATATGACTGTAAGTCGCTGTTGATAAAAGCGTCTGCTAAATTTGATATATTATATTATTTTAAAACATTTCTAGGATGGCCCAACTTCTTTCCCTCTTGGGTGCATAGTCAATATTTGACCTGACCTCAACTTTCCCCAAAATACTATGACGCAGGTTGACACACACTCTAAAGTGCAGTCATGCACAGCAAAAAAACGTTTCAAAATCTGTTTGGATTTTTGGCCTACTGCTGTTTTCTTTTCCCAAATTACATTTTCACAGTTGAGTTTTTCCAGGTTTCAGATTTCCACTATTTGTTCAGTTTTTCTCCTTTTTCTTTTTTTTTTTACACATTTTTAATAGAAAACTACAACATTTGATTTTCTGTGTTCACAACCATGCTTAAACCGCATCAGGGGATGACTTTTGAGGTATGTGAAAAATCTAAGAAACTTATATTTTGAGTGTAGTTGCCCTTTAATTTAGTGCACATGCCCTGCACTGTTGTTTGGTTAGAGGGTTTTCTGTTGCGCAACAATTGCACATGATGATTATGTATTCCATATACAGTGATTCGCATTGTGACCGCCAATGGAATGGGTGGAGTAAAAGGCCAGCAACACTCCGTACCATTCAGAGCCCCATGAAATGACACCATATATACATTCTACAGACTCTACAGACTCTACTTTTTTAGTGTTGCTGACAAGATACTGATCATGTGATGAGTTCGCAAATCAAAATGCCCAATTGTGGTGCCACTGGACAGCGAAAAACAAGTTAACCTTTATTTATTGTAATTTAAATTAGTATTTAAGTGTTGAGTTAGATTACATACCGTTTCTACCGCAGTTGTTATTTCAAATAATTTTGGTGACTTCAAAACAATTGCTAGCTAGCAGGCTCAGCTAAATAAAACTCCCCTTAAATACATCCACGTCTCATAGTCACGTCATCAGATTTGTAAATGAAAGAGGAATATTATAAAACAAATCAAATGGAGTTTCCCATCTCTCCATTTAGAGTTTCTGGCACAGCACAGAAGAACAGACCTGCTGTTACTTTTAAGGTTGGAACCAACATGCAGTACCTCCAGCAGGCAGAGCAGCAAGAACAATTCATTCGCTAGCTCAGGGACAAGCTACACTATTCACAGTCCTGTGTAATGTTCAATGTAATTGCATTGCTGGACTTTTTAGCTGTTAGTGATAATTCCTTAAGTGTTAATACATTTGTGTTTACATCATTAAGATTTATGTTTGTGTTATAAATCACCAAAGGGGTCTGACTTTAAATTAAGTACAGCATCATGTGATATAGTCTTTATGGATGTGGTATAAATGACAAAAGGTGTCTCACTTCAAACTAAGTATTACAGGACACGTGTCAATAAATAGGTTATTAATGTTCTACTGAATTATGAAGGTTCTCTCATGATCCAAAGGTTACTGTAGGGTGTGAGAGGTATTTAAATGGAATTGATGGACCTGCAAAGCTTGTGTGTGTGTGTCAGAGCCAAGATGATTTGGAGTAGTCCAACCCGAGACCACCAAACCAGGTATTCCTCTTCTGTTCCCATGCTGGAGACCAGGGCTTGAGAACAACCTGTTACAATGGTGGCAACATTTTGTGGCTGATCTTTCAGCGGGGGAGTGGGTGAATGTGTCAAAGACCTGATGGTCCCAAAACCACCATAGAATTCTATAGGAGTGACCTTACTGAGTAAAGTACTTGTCATTGTCACTACTTAACACAGTAAAAAAGTCATAATTATGGCTAAACCCTGCCCATTTCCACAATTGATCTTCTTAAAATTAACTAATGAAGTCCAAGTTTAATGTGTTGGTCCACCAGACCTTCCGCACATTTGGGAGGAAGTGTCTGGGAACGAGATTAGGTGTAATGTGACTAACATGACTTCACTTTAGAGCATATTCCAATCCCTCTACCCAACATGTCTCCCTTTATAAAGCACATGTTTATATCATATTCGACATAGAGGGTTATGTCACATTTGACATTGGTGATTATGTCACACAGTTATGCCACATTTATTAACCCTTTATAAAGCATGGCATATAGTTATAGATAATTTGCAACACATTTATGTAGTGCTTATGAAGGCTTTATGAAGGCTTTATGAAGCCTTTATAAGCTGAACGTCATTTAAAGTGGGACCAAACATGCAAAGCAAAAATAAAATATATATGATTTACAAAGGAAAGTACTTTTAAGGAAGAACAAAACAAACAATTGTGGTGGAAAATATGAACACTGGTTTAGGAGGCAATAAGTGACAAAGCTTAAAGATATTTTTCAAATATACATTGAGTGTACAAAACATTAGGAACACCTGCTCTTTCCATGATAGACTGACCAGGTGAATCCAGGTGAAAGCTATGACCCCTTATTGTTAAATCCACTTAAATTGAGACATGGATTTTGTGTGCCATTCAGTGGGTAAATGGGCAAGACAAAATATGTAAGTGCCTTTGAACGGGGTATGGTAGTAGGTGCCAGGCGCACTGGTTTGAGTGTATCAAGAACTGCAACGCTGCTGGGTTTTTCACGCTCAACAGTTTCCCGTGTGTATCAAGAATGGTCCACCACCCAAAAGACATCCAGCTGACTTGACACCACTTTGGGAAGCATTAGAGTGAACACGGGCCAGCATCCCTGTGGAACGCTTTCAACACCTTGTAGTCCTTGCCCCGACGAAATGAGGCTGTTCTGAGGGCAAAAGGGGGTGCAACTCAATATTAGGAAGGTTTTCCTAATGTTTTGTACATTCAGTGTATAATACATTGTATAGTACATAGCTTGTCAGTACATTTCAAATGTTACAATTATTTTTGTGATAAACATTTTTTTTTATATTAGCCCTGTACAAATGCTCTTAGTTTTATACTATTTAAATAAAAGGGTGTTGATGTGGTATGAATACTGTATGATGCATAAATTGTGTCATGAACTTGGGAATTACCTGATAATAACTATATCATTTGAACTATGGAAAGTGTGTGTCCTGTTTTTTCTCCAGTTGCGAATCACTCAATTTACAGTACAATTCACACCTTGTAATCTATGCAACCCTTTGATGCATTGAATATGGAGGCACTTACAAAAACATTTCAATACAGCAATTGTGATTCATGTGGCATTGGTTAAGACTGTTACTGTTTGAGATCAGGTGTAGGTGAGCTGGTGTTGGGTCAAAGGTAGAAGCAAGGTTGAAGACGGTCAAAGCAGTACAGTGATTAATTCTATTTTGCTTAGTAAACATCAACATCATCCTTTTCAGAGTTAATTTTTAATAAATGGCTGAAAAATAAAAAGTCTAAAACGAATTATGGAAATGTTTGTCGATGCAGTCTTGAGTGTGAACGTTGCCGGTGATCTCAAGGTAAGTTCTTCTTTTTGACTCGAGGGTCTCAGGAAATCGGAAGACATCAAAGCATCAGGACACAGAGGAGGAGTGGAGATGGCTAAGGGAGTAAAATACAGACAAAACTTAGGTTTCAACAAAATGAAGACAAAATTACTTGAAGATACAGCATTTATTTAAGATTCCTGTCTATCAAAAAATATAAAATCAAAGAAAAGATTTAGTCATTTACCTTTCAAAACTGTCCAGAGAAGCAATGGTTCTGCTGAAAAATTATTTCAGCTTGAGATGAGACCAGGGTGTTTCATGGTGATTTGGGGCATATTTCACTTCAAGTGAGTTTGTCCAGGTTTTTTTATGTTGGGATTGCCAACCTTGGAATGCTCTCTCCATAAGGGTGCTTGACTGTATAACAACTGCATAGTTCTAACTGATTTGTAGTCCATTGTATATCACAAGAAGGGGATAGGTAGAATCCAGTAATTAGAAGAGTATTAGCGGCACTGTAGCCGAGATGAGAAAAGATCTTGAAGCTTGGTTTTCTTGAAGCATTTCTTCCTGTGTTTTAATAATTCATTGTCATGTGACACCTTATTCTGCTCTGCAGATTGGATGCTTTCCTTTCTATATCTATTTATTTTAAATGACAGACATCAGTTTAACAGCTTTTACATCTAATTTGTTTTGCCACAAAAATGTATACTTTATAACTTTTTTTTGATGGAATTTAACAGAAAAATATAATTAAAATCAAAATATTATTTTAACTCAAAAGTCTGAAAATGTAACTATAGAAGAATAATTAATTAAAATTAATAACAAGCTGGCTTAAAAATATACAAATATGTCAATATGTCTAACATTGAAAACTTTATTAGCAATATCATTGTAGTTGCTAAAAATGAAAAGATAATAGGTTGAATACTGCTCTTCTGTATGTAAGCATATAAATAATGGCAAAATTGCGGTTAAATTCTACAAAAATTTGACTTCTCATACTACACAAAACAAAAGAGAGCAACCAAAAATTTACTTTAAAAAAATAAAACTGAATAAACTATGGACAAAATTAACTTAAAGCCAGCAGAAATAATTATAATATACTGCTGAAAAGCCCCATTATAACAACATGCAGAGCAGAATAAAGGTAGTCTATTTTTCTAATAAGAATTAGGCAACTGGTGAGTAATTGGGTTGTATTGTGGTGAAAATTCTCTCTTTAGAACTGCAGTTCCTGCCCATTGCTAATGATGTCAGGGCCTGTGCTAGCTCATCCATGCTAAGTCCGCTGTGTGATCCTGCATCATATCTGCGCCCATAGCTCGTCGATGTGAAGGAGGAGGAGGAAAAGTTAGTGGAGAAACCAGAGCCTGTGGCATCAAAGCTCCCTCGTCTGGAGCCTGACCTGGAGCCAGTTCTTGAGTCGGGCCGGGAACCGGATGCTGACCCAGAACCGCTAACACTGTAGGGACTGTAAAGGCCTTTACTTGATTGAGAAGAGGCTTCCAACAGACGCAGACCAGAACCCTCCTCAATCATGCTTCTATCCATGGCATCCTTGTATGAGATCTTAAGCTTTGTCTTGGGGCAGGTGAGGTATTTGGAGTATCCACTGACATCTCGTAGCTTTTGTGCAGTACGTGCATCTAGGGTGCCCTTGTTGACAGCAACATCTAGTGGAACTCTGCCAGTGACCTCTGGTTCGATCAAACCACCAGTTAGATATTGTACTTCCAGGAATCTCTGACCAGCCTCATAGTACAACCACCCTTTTTTTAATGCTTGTGCAGCAGACATTTTTGTTTTGGTTCTGGGATCCTCAAATCCATTGAAGGCCTTCTGTGCCAGGTTGATTCGGTCAACCATGATCTTATCCACAAGTCCCATGTTCATTGCATCTGCAACTGAGAACTTCTCTCCAGTGTTTGGATCAATGATGCCACCAGCGCAAGCCTGAGCCTCCAGCAGTCTTTGACCTGTGATATTATCCACAAGATTTCTGTGCATGGCTTCTGTGACGGACACTTTCTCTAATGTGTCAGTATCCAGTATTCCAGCCACAGGGCCGGTTTCTTCTGTTGGGTCATTCCATATCGTTGCTGGGGGTTTGATAGAGGGGACGGGGCTACTGGAGTAAGATGACGTGGACCCAAAGGAGGATGACCTGGATCTGGTGCCACTTATGTTTCCGGACAGCATGTCTGCAAACTCTGTGATGGACAGAGTGCCAGCACGGTACTGATCCAGAGCAGACTGGTCAATGAGGCCCTTTATGATTGCATCATCAATGTCATACTGTCGGCCAGACCTTCTATCAATGATCATGGACTTCACAACACCATCAGATGAGGAGATAGTAATCTCCTCCCACTCACACTCTTGCTCTGCAAGCTCAATGTAGGTCTGGTGATCAATAAGTCCTTTGCGATATGCCTCATACACAGACATCTCTTTGCCTGTCTCTGGGTCAACAATGACTACTCTGCGTTTACGCACAGACGATTTAGAGGATGTCTTCCTCTCACGTTTCTTTTCTTTCAACAGCAAAAGTGCTAGTCCAGTTTCTGGGTCAATCATGCATCGCTCCATCAGCTGCAGGTAAGTGAGGTTCTCCTCAGTGTTAGGGTCAAAGAAGCCTTTAGTGTCATCAGATGGGTCTGTAAGAATGCCATTCATCTCCTCATCAAACAGGCCACGTGTGTAGGCCATCTCGACTGGCAAGCGGTGACTCTCTTCTGGATCAATGATCCCACCAGTGGCAATTTGGGCTTCCAATAGGCGAATGCCGTGGTCTTTCAGAATGAGACCCTTTTTCATGGCCTGGAATAGAGAGATGGTCTTGCCAGAGTATGGATCCCTGTAGCCTGTAACAGCACGCTCAGCAGAGATGAGCTTGTCTTTGAACTCTGGACCAACGACTCCCATTTTAACAGCTTCACCGACATTCAGCTTCAGGTTCTTTATTGGGTCAATTATATATCCTGTTGCAGCTTGAGCTTCAAGAAGTTCAAAGGCTGTCCCGGGTCTTATCATGTTCTTCTTCATTGCTTGGTAGATGGACAGACGGTCTTTGCTGGATTCTACATATACTCCGGCAATGCAGCTTGTGCCCTCAAGGTACTTCTTCACTTCTTTGCTGACCTCTTCTACTGAGATAAGGCCTTCAATGAGATCATTGTATGTCTTTTGGTCAATAATCTGCGAACGAAGCAGCTCATCTAAGGTGATTTGCTTTCTGAGACCCTTGAAAAGCAGCCTTCTGTCTGCCAGTGAAAGTAATCGCAGACCACTCTCTTTATCAACTTTGCATCTCTTCAGCAGCTGGGCATAGGTCTGTCTCTCCTCTGTGGTTGGATCAACATAACCTTGTACATCACTGTTTGGATCCGTGATCCTGTCATGTGTTTCCTTATTGATGTATCCGCGTTGCATGGCAACATCTGTGGGAAGGTGGAAGTAGTATTCTGGATCCATAAGGCCCCCAGTGGAAGCCTGGGCTTCAAGAAGCCTCAAGGCATAGTCCTCAGGAACAAGGTATTTTTTCATCGCTTGGAAGAGAGAGATTACTTTTCCACTGTAAGGATCCTTGTAGCCAGTGACTGCCCTCTCGGCAGAGAGAAGTTTGTCATGGATTTCAGGGCCGACTAGCCCTTTGCGCACAGCTTCGTCAACTGTTAACAATTCTTCTTTCACAGGGTCAATGATGAATCCTGTTGCCGCTTGGGCCTCCAGGAGACTGAGAGCAAAATCAGGCTTAATGAGACCTCTCTTCATGGCCTGGTAAATACTGACCTTAGAGGGGGAGTCTGAGAAGATTCCAGCAATACTACCAGTGCCAAACAAATACTGCTTTACAGACGGCATTTCCATTACCTCACGGATAGTCTTCTTCTCTTGCTTCAACATGTTGTATGTTTGAAGGTCGATAATGCGAGAACTGTAGAGCTCCTCAATAGTGACTCTTCGTCTGATCACATCACAGGACATGCTCTGCTCTCCTTTCAGTATCTCCCTTTGTTCAATGATTTCAATGACGATGATGATCATTCTCTCCTTTGTGATTTTCCCACAGCGATACTGTTCCAGGAGCCTTAGCTTTTCTTCCTCAGGGAGCAGGTTTGACCCCATGACATCCCATAGGGTCATTAGCTTCCCTGCATAGCTTTGATGAGGGATATCCACTTGAGTGTTAGTCAAGTCTATCTGTGCCTGTTCTTCTGTGTATATGTAAGACTTTTCCACTGGAATTTGAGCTTCAGCCTTTGATAGCGGCAGGAAGCACAGACCGGTCTCTGGATCTCTTATGCATTTCTCTTGCAGTTGTTTGTAGGTGGAACTTTCATTATTGTTGGGATCAACGAAAGCTTTGACATCCCCTGAGGGGTCAGTGAAGTTATTAGCCATCTGCTTATTGAAATAGCCACGTTGGAAAGCCACATCATTTGGAACACAGTGGCTGCTGACTGGATCAATAATCCCTCCTGTGGCCACCTGAGCTTCCAACAGGGGAATAGCATGTTCTCGTAGCACAAGCTCCTTCTTCATGGCTTGGAAGAGGGAAATCGTGTTGCCTGTGTATGGATCTCTGTAACCAGTCACTGCTTTCTCAGCTGACAGAAGTTTCTCATGAACCTCAGGACCAACAACTCCTGCTTTCACAGCATCATCCACAGTGTACCTCTGGTTTTTGACAGGATCGATAATGAAACCGGTTGCTGCTTGTGCCTTGAGCAACGCAAGACCTGTATTTTGTCTCAATATGTTCTTCTTCATTGCTTGATAAATGCTAACCTTTTCCTTTGAGTCACCCATATAGATGCCTGCAATCTGTCCATCTGTTCCTTGCAAGTACTTCCTGACTGAGTCGATGTCACTGATTTCTTTGGCTTTCTTTTTACCCTGTTGGAGTTGATCATATGTAGCTTTATCAATTATTTTGGATTCAAACAATGAGCTGGCAGTGACAGGTGACCTAAGCCCTTCAAAGCTGGCCTGTTCCTTTTCCTGTTTCTTGGTCTCCTTTTCATCAACCATTGTGACAATGATTGTAATCATTCTTTCAATAGTCACTGTTCCAGTTCTGTACTGTCGAATCAACTCAATTCTTTGTTCCTCTGTAATATATTCAGAGTTTATGATCTCCCAAATAGTGACTTTCCTTCCTTTGAAAGGTCCATACGGCAGCTCCATAGTTGCCTGGTTCAGGGCATCTTTGATCTGGACCTTAGTGTATTGATGTTCCTCTTTTGACTTTTGCTTCTCTTTTGACTTTTGAATTGCTTTCTCTGAGAGCGGAAGAAATGGAAAACCAGTCTCTTTGTCAGTGACACATTTTTTCATGAGTTGTACATAAGATGCATTCTCCCACATGTTAGGATCAAAGAAGACTTTAGTTTCATCAGTGTTGTTGCTCAAGGTCTTGTTTGTTTCATCGTCAAAATATCCACGTTTGCAGGCAACATCATGTGGGATGTGATAACTTTTGACTGGATCAATTATGCCTCCAGTTGCAAGCTGAGCCTCTAGCAGACGGATACCATGGTCATTCTTAATAAGGTCTTTCAACATTGCCTCAAATAGGGATATATTCTTTCCAGTGTAGGGATCTTTGTACCCATTAACAGCTCTCTCTGCAGACAGAAGTTTTTCATGCATCTCTGGGCCAACAAGACCTGATCTAACAGCTTCATCCACAGTGAGCTTCTGATTTTTGACAGGGTCAATTACAAATCCAGTCCCAGCTTGAGCCTCAAGAAGAGTCAATGCAGTCTCGGGAGAGAGCATCTGTTTCTTTACAGCTTGATAGAATGGTATTTTCTCCTTTGTTGACTCAATGATCACTCCAGCAATGCTATGTGTTCCTCTTAAGGCTTTCTTAACAGGCTCCATCTCAGAGATTTCTTTGACAGTTGTTTTGCCATTATGCAATTTGTTGAACAGGTCTTTATTGAGGATCTTAGATTCTAGAAGTTCAGCTGCAGTGACAGGAATCCTCAGACCGTCAAACACAATTTCATTCCTCTTCTCTTTGTCTTCCACGACACTAATTACAATTTTGATAATTTTTTCCACAGTAATTTTTCCGGTCTTGTACTGACGAATCAGATCCTTCCTCTGTGCCTCTGTGAAATACTCTGAGTTAATGATTTCCCAAATGGTCACAGTCTTTCCTTGGAATCTTCCAAATGGTACAGAGATATTTGCTTTAGTGAGTACATCTTTAGTTTCTTCCGTTGTATAGGTCTTGTCACTTTGTGTAGCTTTCTCTGTGATTGGTAACATAAGTAGGCCTGTCTCTGCATCTGGGGTGCATTTCTCCAATAGTTTCTGATAAGTGAGGCTCTCCTGGGTGCTTGGGTCAATGAATAACTTTGAGTCATCAGTAGGGTTTGATAGAGTTTTGTTCATCTCAGCATCCAATTGGCCCTGCTTATAGGCTGTCTGGAGAGGTACACGGTGACTATTGACAGGGTCAATTATTCCACCAGTTGCAATCTGAGCATCCAGAAGTCTAACGGCCTGGTCTTGTTCAACCAGACCTTTTTTCATGGCCTCAAAGAGTGAGATTTTGTCTCCAGTATAAGGATCTTTGTAACCAGTAGCTGCTTTTTCTGCAGAAAGAATTTTGTTATGGAGTTCTGGACCTATTAATTCCTCCTTTACAGCTTCATCCACAGTGAGCATTCTGTTTTTCACTGGATCGATGATGTACCCAGATGCTGCCTGAGCTTCAAGAAGCATTATGGCAGCACCAGGAGAAAGTTTATTCTCTTTCATGGCCTGATACACACTCATTTTTTGCTTGGCTGGAGTCAAGACTCCGCCAACACTATTCTTGCCTTTGAGACATGTTTTTACTTTCTCAGTCTTGCTCAGGTCTTTCACTGTGGTTTTGCCTTTTTTCAGCTTATCAAAGTCCTTCTTGTTCAGTATACCAATGTCATGGAGCCTGCTGGCAGGAACCTTCTCCCTAATCCCATCAAAAGCAAATAGTGATTCTTCGTTTTTCTTCTCACCATCTACTACTGCAGACCCATCAAATACTTTATTTGTAGTTCCCACCATTGTCATTGCAATTAGCTGATCTTCAGGGACCTCATCAGTTTGCATCTCCATTTCTTTAGTGTGGGATGTTGCAGATTTTCTTAGTGTAGAAAGTTGCTGCAGCTTCTCTCGAAGCTTTTCATTCTCCTCTCCCAACAATTTCTCTTGTTCAAGCCTTTTCTTTTCAAGATCCTGCATCTCTTTCTGCTTGTTGCACATCTCCTCCTCAGCATCCTTCTGCTTTTTCACAGCGGCATCCATGGTAGCGTGGAGTTTCTTCTTCTCCTGTTCCATCTGCTTCCTTTGACGATCCTGCTCATCTTTGAGGTCTTTGGCCTTCTTAACCTCATCCTCAAACTGTTTCTCAAGCTTATTTTTCTCTTCCTCAATGAGCTTTTCTTTTTTCAACAACATTTGTTTTTCTGTCAGGAAAGTCTGCTCAAGAACAGTCTTTTCCTTTTTAATTTGTTCCTGTTGGGCATTGGCCATCTAATTAGGAAAGAAATTAAGAGAAAATTAATACAACTCCAAACAAACTTTTTGCACATGGTCTATTACACTGATTATAACTGCTAAATAATATAATACATATATTTATATATAAATGGTATCGTATATACAGCATATAATTGTATTCTGTATTCTATGAATGGAAATGTATTCGAAATCGGTTTCATTTTGAAATGCTAGAAAACATAATTGAATTTACGAAATGCAGCAACATTTGGTCATTCATGAGAAATTGCTGGACACTTAGTATTGTTGACAGTCTCTGCAATTCACATGAATAGTACATTTGGACCTCCTTTATGTGTTAGTGTTTTTGAGAAGGTTATGGATATTTGCAAAAGGGTTTTCACTTATTATTTCACAAGATTATTTCACATTCCACAATACCTCTTTAGACTTATTCTGTAAATCTGCAGCCTCTTTTTGTAATTTCTCCTTTTCTTTCTCAAGGTCAGCTATGGCTTTGCGTAGGTCATCAGACTCTTTGCTGCTCTGTAATCTCTGCACCTCCAGTTTCTCTATAAGGACTTTTTCTGAAGCGTGTTTCTCTTTCTCTTGGAGACGAACCCTGATCTCATCTGCTTGTTTCTTGAATTTCTTGGCCTCTTCCTCTGCTTTAGACTGAGCATCACTGAGCTGTGTCACCCTTAGCTTCAATTTCTCTGCCTCCGCCGTAGCTTCATGCTGCCTCTTGCGTTCAGCCTCTAGGGATTTTTGGAAGCCCTCTGTCTCCTCCTCAAAACGCTGCTGCATCTGCTGCTTGTCCTCCAGCAGTTTTTGGGCCTGCTCCTGAGCCTTGTCCTTTTGTTTCTGGAGATTCTCTGCCTCAGCTTTCAGTTTAGTTGCTTCTTGGATAGCTTGCATTTTCTCCTTCAGCATTTTGTCAGCAAGAGCCCTCTGTTCTGCAAGCTCGGACTCTGTAATCTGTCTCTCTCGGGCAGCCTCCTTAGCTTCTAAGCTTAGCCTGGCAGCATCCTCCGCCAACTTCTTCAAGTTCTCAGCTTCCTCTTCCAGGAATGTCTGAGTATTATCTTTATCTTTACTCATGAGACGCTGGTTCTCATTCTCAATTCTAAGCTTAAGTTTGACCAGCTCCTCCATCTGGACCTTGACCTTAAATAGCTCATCCTCCACTTGAGCTTTCTGCTTGACAGCATTGCTAACTTCATCCTTCTGGCGCTGAAGCTCTTCATCCAAAACAGATTTTTGCTTATCGGTCTCATCCAGTCGCAGTTTCACCTTTGTCAGCTCCTGCTCAACTTGTGTCTTCTGCTTCACTGTTTGTTCAGCTAGCTTTTTGTGCTTGGCCATCTCTGCGTCAGCCTGCTGTTTCTGTTTCAGAGCAGCAGCCTCAGCTTCTGCTCGCTTTGCAGCCTCCTGCTCTGCTTCCATCCTCAGTCTCTCAGCATCCCCCTGAGCCTTGGCCTGTTTGGCAGCCTCAGATTCAGCTGCTTTCTTCTGCTTCTCAGCATCCTCTGCTTTTTGACGGAGTAAAGCAGCCTCTTTCTCAGCTTTCTCCTTGGCCTTCTCAGCTTCTTGTACAAGTTTCTTAGCCTTGTCAAACTCCTCTTTGAGCTTGCCCTGGAAAAGATTGTCCTCTTTCTGCTTGACCAGAACAGCCTGTGCTCTCTTTTCTGCAGCACTACATTTCTGTGCAGCCTCTTTGGCTAGACTAATCTGTTTCTCTGTTTCTTTGTCAGCATCCTCCTTTTGCTTGTTAGCATCGGCAGCAATCTCTTTGAGGCGCTCAACTTCTTTCTGAGCTGCCTGGCATTGTCGCGCTGCCTCTTCCTCTGCAGCAGTGATCTTTTTAACTTTCTCTTCAGCTTGCTTCCTTTTGTTCTCCTCCTCTAAAGCAAGCTTTCTGAGTTTCTCTGCTTCTTCCTCAGCCTTGACTTTGTTCTTATGTGTCTCATCTGCAATGCCTTTAAGCTTGTTCAACTCCAACTCAAGATCCAACTTGCCTGTTGATGCCTCCTCAAAGTTTAGTTTTAGTATGCGAATCTCCTCTTCAACCACCCTCCTCTGCTTAAGAGTTTCCTCTACAATCTTCTTCTGCCTCTCCAATTCAGAATCAGAAGTATTCTTAAGCTGGGTGATCTTTTCATCAATGTCTTGCTTGTGCTGTTTTGCTTGGTCTTCTAGGACCTTTCTCTGATAAGCCTCATCTTCGGCTTTTCTCCTAAGTCGCTCATTTTCTGCCTCTTTATCCTTCAGGGCAATCTCAGCTTCAGTTTTCAGGCAGGTTGCTTCATTAATGGCTGCCAGTTTTTCCTTGAGTATCAACTCAGCCTCTCCTCTTTGCCGAGCCGCCTCATCCTCTGCTACCTGCCTCTGCTTCTTTGCGTCTTCAGCAATTGATCTCAGCTTAGTCGCCTCTTCAGCTAGTTGCCTCATTTTCGATGCCTCAGACTCAAGGAGATTTCTGCTTTTCTCTGTTGTAGACATGGTCTCTTTCTCAGCTTTGGACTTCATCTGAAGAAGAACTTCCATTTCACATCTCACTTTGGCCAGTTCATCTTCTAGCTGTTTCCTTTGTTTTACTGCAGCATTCACCTCATTTTTCAGGCGCTGGAGCTCTTCATCCAATAGAGACCTCTGTTGCTTACCATGGTCAAAGTCAGCCCTTAGGCGAATTAGCTCTTGCTCTGCAGAGAGTTTCTGCTGGGCTGTTCCCTCTGCCAATTTCCTCTGTTTCTCCAGCTCCTTCTCTGCCATTTCCTTTTGCTTAAGAGCAGCCTCTTCAGCCTTAGCCCTTTTCTTTGCCTCTCGCTCAGCTTTCTCTTTCTGTTTCTCTGCTTCCTCCTGAGCCTGGCTCTTCTTGTGGGCTTCTTCCTCAGCCTGGAGTCTCAAACGGAGTGCCTCGTTGGCTTTCTGCCTCCACTTCTCAAGCTCCTTCTCTGCTTCCTCCCTGGCTTTGTTGGCTTCCTCTTGTTGCTTCTTGAGGCGCTCTGCCTGTTCCTGCAACTGAATAACAGTGTCCTGTTCTTGTTTCAGTGATTCCTCAAGCTTTACTGCCTTCTCGTTAAATGACATGCGTTTGGTTTGCAGCTCGGTGGCGGCACTCTTCTGTGCCACCTCCTCTGCAACCATGACCTGCCGCTGCTTCTCCTCCTCTGCCTGTTTCATGCGCCTCTCTGCCTCTTCAGCTTGCATCTTGAACTTCTGCAACTCATCCAGGGCCTTCTGCTTTTGCTTGGCAGCCTCTTGTTCTGCCTCTGCTTTGTGTTTCAGCTCCTCCTCTGCGTTGCGCTTTTTCTGAGTCTCTTCATTCACCTGCTTGCGAAGCTTCTCTGCCTCCTCCTGAGCAACTTTCCTCAGTCTCTCAGCCTCGACAGCCATGTCCCTGAGCTGCTGAAGTTGGGCCTCAGCTGTGGCCTTCTGCTTTATGGTAGTCTCTAATTGGATTCTGATGATGTGGATCTCCTCTTCTATCTTGGTGCGACTATACAGTGCCTCCTCAACCTGCTGGCTCTTGGTTTGGATCTCTTGCTCTGACAGGTTCTTGAGTTCGTGCAGCTCCTGCTGTATGTTGTGCTTCTGTTTCTCAGAATCCACTTTCACAACTTCCCTCCTGCTGACCTCTTCTTTCATTTTCACCTTCAGCTCTTGGGCTTCTTGTTCCGCTTTAGCGATAGCTTTTGCGTGTGCCTCAGCTAACTGTCTTTGTTTGTCTAATTCAGCCTGCATCTCAGACAACTTTTTTCTCTCCTCCTTCTTTAGTATTTCAGTAGCTTTCTGTATTAGTGGAAGCAAACAGTAAAGGGAAAAACAATGTTAAGTATTACAGTGTTAGAATATAAATGTTTGAGTTGATTGAAGTACTCAAACAAAGTAAAACGTTTAAGTACATGTAGGTACACATACAGTAGGGTCTGAAATTATTGACACCCTTGATAAAGATGAGCAAAACTGACTTATAATAAATAATTCAAATACTGACCTATATTGTATGCTAAAAAAGTTCCAATGTTTTTGAACATACAATATAAATCAGTACTTGAATTACGTATTTTATACAGTCATTTCTGCTCATCTTTATCAAGGGTGTCAATAATTTCGGACCCCACTGTAGATGTAAATACATGAACAAAACGTTACTTCAAATGAATAAATATTTGTTATCTAGGGAGAGAAATGTTTGTTATTTGCTTTGGGAAAATAATCACGAATGTCTTGTCACATTTACTTAATGTATGGCACACATAATGAGACATTACTTCACAACACAACACTATGGGAACTTGAATGGTATCATGCCAACGAGGTATTTTTCCTTGGGTCTTTTGAAGTAACCATTTCATCTTTCATTACTAAGATCAAATAAGAATCAATCAAATAACACTTTTCAATGTACTGACTTGGTTACTACTCTTCAACTTTACCTTGGACTAAGATTGTATTACGTTTTACCTTTTACAAATGAAATCCATCATGTTTTAAAATTGGAAATAAACTTGAAAGGACAGAAGCAGAAAAATAATAATTTGCAAAGAGCATGCAAAATGTATTACCCATAGAGGGTATGCTTAGATTGAGTTGATCAGAACTTTTCTATTTTTAGGCAAAATTCTGAGCACCTACAGTATACAGCCATGTACAGAAGTTCGTAAAATGTCAAAGCTCTACTGTATGTAAGCAAGTCAATCCCAATTACTGTACCTTAGAGATAATAGCTTAGTGATGCAGCAAATAAAGCATGGGACTCACAAAACAAAAGGCACCACAAAATGACTATGTAATCAAGGCTATGAGACAAAATAATTGAAGTGCAGAATCTAATCCTTATGTTATGCAAGATAATGTGGAACTTTACACTTAGACAAGGTCCAAAAATGTGGTTGTATCTTTGAATGTTAATGTCATGTTGGTTCACTGGTGTGAATGAAACACAGATGCCTAATGATAACAGGGATAAATTGTAGAAGACTAATGATATAAGAGGAGTGATATGTGGAGAGGGGATTTATTCAAATACCTGGTGCTTTGTGGATTATTCACATCTTAAGCGCCCAAACATGATTAATATTCATCATGACAAAGCACTGGCAAGGTTAGAAAAGAAAGGGGGAAACAAAACTGGTCATTTGAAAGAATAATTCTGAGGTGGTATTAGTCAGACTGCAGCGACCTAATCACCAGATCAGAGAAAAAGGAGTGTGCAGAAATATTTTGTTTCAAGGGTGAAATAACAAATTAAATTGCAGAAGAAAAGGCTATTCTAAAAAAAGACTGGGGTTGAATTGAATGGGGAGCCTGATGTTTGCTTCAGACTTGAGGGGATACTGTAGCAAAACTAACTTGCAAGTGTAATTTAGAGACTGATTACACATCCATGCACCACAGTATAGGGGGAATGAGAGACAGATACTATTAGTGAATGGGATGTGCCGCAGCACCAGCATTTGAAATTACTCAACACTTTCCATACTGCGCTGACCTATACAAAAACTAATTAATTTCCTCATAGCCCCATCAGCTAAAAATATTTTGAACCCTTTCCAAAAAGTCCCAGACTCTTTTAAAAATGCCAACATTCTGAAACCATATATACTGACATAAGGACATACAGTACCAGTCAAAAGTTTGGACACACCTACTCATTCAATTGTTTTTCTTTATTTTTACTATTTTCTACATTGTAGAATAATAGTGAAGACATCAAAACTATGAAATAACACATATGGAATCATATAGTAACCAAAAAAGTGTTAAACAAATCCAAATACATTTTAGATTCTTCAAAGTAGCCACCCTTTGCCTTGATGACAGATTTGCACACTCTTGGCATTCTCTCAACCAGCTTCATGAGGAATGATTTTCCAACAGTCTTGAAGGAGTTCCCACATATGCTGAGCACTTGTTGGCTGCTTTTCCTTCACTCTGCGGTCCAACTCATCCCAAACCATCTCAATTGGGTTGAGGTCTGGTGATTGTGGAGGCCAGGTCATCTGATGCAGCACTCCATCACACTCCTTCTTGGTCAAATAGCCCTTACACAGCCTGGAGGTGTGTTGGGTCATTGTCCTGTTGAAAAACAAATGATAGTCCCACTAAGCACAAACCAGATGGGATGGCGTATCGCTGCAGAATGCTGTGGTAGCCATGCTGGTTAAGTGTGCCTTGAATTCTAAATAAATCACCAACAGTGTCACCAGCAAAGCACCCCCACACCATCACACCTCCTCCTCCATGCTTCACGGTGGGAACCACACATGCAGAGATAATCCATTCACCTACTCTGCGTCTCATAAAGACACAGCGGTTGGCACCTAAAATCTCACATTTGGACTCATCAGACCGAAGGACAGCTTTCCACCGGTCTAATGTCCATTGCTCGTGTTTCTTGGCCCAAGCAAGTCTCTTCTTATTATTGGTGTCCTTTATTAGTGGTTTCTTTGCAGCAATTCAACCATGAAGGCCTGATTCACGCAGTCTCCTCTGAACAGTTGATGTTGAGATGTGTCTGTTACTTGAACTCTGTGAAGCATTTATTTGGGCTGCAATCTGAGGCTGGTAACTCTAATGAATTTATCCTCTGCAGCAGAGGTAACTCTGGGTCTTCCTTTCCTGTGGCGGTCCTCATGAGAGCCAGTTTCATCATAGCGCTTGATGGTTTTTGCGACTGCACTTGAAGAACATGTTCAATATTGACTGACCTTCATGTCTTAAAGTAATGATGGACTGTCATTTCTCTTTGCTTATTTGTGCTGTTCTTGCCATAATATGGACTTGGTATTTTACCAAATAGGGCTATCTTCCGTATACCACCCCTAACTTGTCACAACACAACTGATTGGCTCAAACACATTAAGGAAAGAAATTCTACAAATTAACTTTTAACAAGGCACACCTGTTCATTGAAATGCATTCCAGGTGACTAACTTATGAAGCTGGTTGAGAGAATGCCAAGAGTGTGCAAAGCTGTCATCAAGGCAAAGGGTGGCTACTTTGAAGAATCTAAAATCTCAAATATATTTTGATTTGTTTAACACTTTTTTGGTTACTACATGATTCCATATGTGTTATTTCATAGTGTTGATGTCTTCACTGTTATTCTACAATGTAGAAAATAGTAAAAAATAAAGAAAAACCCTGGAATGAGTAGTTGTGTCCAAACTTTTGACTGGTACTGTATATGATTTTCCATACATTAATCCCTAAAGAGAGTTTTATAGTAACTGTTGTTATAGTCTGGGTATACAAGTCTGTTTCTGCCATCATGCCACTCCTTGACATGCCAAACAAGATGTTTGGCATGGAAAAGAGTTGACATGTGCGCACAAAGAGATCTTGCACCAGGCTATTGTTATTATGGTTAGTGGGTTTAATTAAAGTTGTCGGGAGCAGGGAGCTGCTGCCTGTCTTCAATGTGTCCCTCAATTACCTCCTCGTCCTCAAGGCGGCTCTGTGTCTCCGTGATAAACTTGATGTATTGGCTGGTCAGAGTCATCAGCTCACTGAAGCGGGTTCTCAGAGTCACATACTGAAAGACAATTCCAGATGTTTAGTAATCCCATATAATTGTTAACAACTTTAAAGCTACTGTAGCTGTTCCTCATCTAAATTCCTCATCATGTCTAAATTCCTCATCATGTCTATATGACCTACCTCTTGGATTATATTGTCAGATGCACACTCCATTTTGGTTTTCTTAAGGGGCGAAGCCAGGGGCTCCACCAGAGCTTTGTACGTCACCACCTGAAGCTCATAGTCCTGGGGAAAACACATGGACATAATATGTCATAGACATAATACAATAATTTTACTAACGCAACAAATCTCCATATGCATCATCTTATTTAAGTGACATCTGATTTGCATACGCACCTTGACTGCATCAATATATGCCCTTGCATGTTTTTGACACTCCTCAACCTTATCTTTGTTCTTCTCGATCTCTTCTAGGAGTTTCTGCAATGATAAAAGATTGTAACACTGACTGTCTTGATAACGTGTAGCTCAGTTGGTAGAGCATGGCGCTTGCAACGCCAGGGTTGTGGGTTCGATTCCCACAGGGGGCCAGTATGAAAAAAAAAATATGAAAAATGTATGCACTCACTAACTGTAAGTCGCTCTGGATAAGAGCGTCTTCTAAATGATGTAAATAACGTAACATTATAGTCCATCATCGAGCTAAGAAGCTTCATCTCCCCTATTTGTAATGGAAGCCTCTTGCTACCTTGTCCTGGGTGCCTCACATTGGTGGTAGATGAGGTGAGTTTCCCCTTACTATGTAAAGCACTTTGAGCATCTTGGTAGAAAAGTGCTATATAAATCCAATCGATAATTATTATTATTAGTTGTACAGTACCTTCTCCTGTGCCAACTGTTGCTTAAGGGCCTTGCTGTCGCCGATGGGCACGGCCTGGATCTTTTCCTGCCTCTCCTTGGCATCACCAAGCCATCTGATGAGCCAGTCATAGCTCTCGTGGTAGGCGCGCATCTGCCTCCCCAGCAAATCCAGCTCCTGTTGGCGCAGGTCTATCTGGGCAAACATGGCCTGCCAGCGCTCCTCTAGCCCGGACACTAGTTGGCGATAGTGTTCCAGCTCGGTGTCGTGCTCGCTGTGGACCCGTGTAATCCGCTCATTCACGGCCACCACCTTCTTCAGTTCCTCCTGGAGATTGTCGAACGTCTTCTGGTCATCCTCTGCCTCACCACGCATTGTCTACCAGAGAGAAAGAGGGAGAGAAAGAGAGAGAGAGAGAAAAAGAGAGTAAGCAAGAAAGAGAACGAGAGATAGAGAAAGAGCAATAGAGACAGAAGGAGAGAGAGAGAGAACGAGAGAGATAGAGAGACAGCAAGAAAGAGAGGGAGATCACTACAAATGCATAGAAATCACTAAGTTACTGTCTGATAACCAGTCCATATAAAAGCATTGTCTACACACCAACGGATACAATGCAGTTAATTCTAACAGAGATACTGTACCTTTAGCTGGGTGCAGTAGTTCTCCACCGCTTTTTCGTCTGTTGGCATCTTGTTGACGTCTCGTAAATGGGCTTCATACTTTTTGAGGGTGTCTTCTGCTCCCTTTGTGCTGCGGATCACTATGTCGATGGTCTTCAGTCTAAACAAGGAGTGGTGTATAGTGTTAGCTGTGTGTGTAACATGATTCAGATCTACTATTTAGATTGAAGATGTTACTTATTGGTCCTATGGTTTTGATATGCATGTTGTAACAATCAGAGTCAGCCAGGAACTCACTTGTCCAGGTACACGGAGGACAGGGTGTAGATGTGCTCCATCTTCTTCAGCGTAACATCCAGCTCAGAGCGCAGTACGGTGGCGGAGCTGGACTGCTGAGGCGATGCCAGCACCTCCTCTGTCTTCTCAGCCACATTGGTCAGGTCTTTCTTCAAGCCCTCCAACTCTGACTGGACATTCTATGGGCAGAAAAGGGAATAATGAACCATAACTGGCTATTCCACCTGTGCATCCAAGCAGTCTTTTTTTCATGGAGTTGCTAACAAGCCAGCCAGCAACATACTGTAAAGTGAAATAGGGATACAAAGGTCTTCTGAAACTTCTTACGATGAGAAACGAGCAGATGGAGCATACTAAACAGCATGTCTGATCTAAAAATTTTAGTTTGTCCCTTCTACTGTATAACTTAATTTACTTGACTCAAGGGAACTTTAAATAGTTTCCTAAACAATAACCCCATGTTGAATTTGGCCTGGCTCTGTTTCAAATAGGCATGTTATCTAATTTGGGCTCACAATTCATTACAGATCTACCATTAACTCTGTTTACTTTGGGATTGGATGTGTGATTTACGGTAACCATTTACCAGTGGCCTGGCCACCGCTGAGTCTAAATTACATACATACTGATTTTTTCTGTCTTGGTTGAGAAACAGCTAAAACAGCAAATATCTCTTCCTCCATTGCCGTTAGACCCATAGTGAAGTGCCCTAAAACTCCCAAGGTGCCCCTATAATTTAATGTAGTATTGTCTTTGTGTTGTTCTTGTCTGTAACGTATGTACTTTGTCATGTATTTTGTATTTTGTGTGGACCCCAGGAAGACTAGCTGCAGTATGTGCAACAGCTAATGGGGATCCTAATAAACTAAACTAAACAATGTCACTGAGGGGTGATGTCACTGCAGTACCTTCTGCTCAGCGGTCCTCTGGGCACAAGCCTTGAGCGGCTCCTTGTCCATGGGCTGTCGCAGACGTGCGACGGTGCGAGTCTCACAGCCCTCCAGCTTCAGACACAGGTCCTTGATCTTGGTCAGGTAGCTCCGGCACTCAGATTCGTCTTGCTCACCTGAACAGAATGGAGCAACCATTATAGGGCTGTGGTCAAAAGTAGTGCACTATGTAGGAAGCAGGGTGCCATTTGGGATGCAACCACAGTAATGGTAGAATAGCAAAGTCAAAATCAAATCAAATCACATTTTATTGGTCGCATACACATGTTTAGCAGATGTTATTGCTGGTGTAGCGAAATGCTTGTGTTCCAACTCCAACAGTGCAGTAATATTTAATGATCCACAACAATACACAAATCGAAAAGTAAAAGAATGGAATTAAGAAATATAGAACTATTTGGACGAGCAATGTCAGAGTCCAGAGTATATATATATATATATATATATATATACTATATAGCTGAAGAATATGTGGATAGAATAGTATAGGTACAGCAATAGTTGAATAGGATGGACTTGACTAGAATACAGTAAATACATATGAAATGGGTAAAACAGTATGTAAACATTATTAAAGTGACCAGTGTTCCATTATTAAAGTGACCAGTGTTACATGTCTATGTACATAGGGCAGCAGCCTCTAAGGTGCAGGGATGAGTAACCGGGTGGTAGCCGGCTAGTGCCAGTGACTAAGTACAGGGCATGGTAATGGGTGGAAGCCGGCTAGTGATGGCTATTTAACAGTCTGATGGCCTTGAGATCTATTTAGTTCTTGGTAACTTCGATCATGAATTCATTATTTATGCCCACACAATTCATGTAATTTTCTGGAACTATATGTCTCATGAAATCCATAAAATCACTCAAGCTTTTGCTTAACAACGCATAGTTTCAAAATCAAACTCAATCCACTACCAGCTTCATGCAGGATAGAAATTCAGAATTATTACACATGATTAAGCAACACAATGCATCAACACACGCAAACTCATGCGATTGGACAAGGTGGCTAATGCAATGAACAACGAAGTTAGAGAAAATCTTGGATGGTGATCAATGGTTGAGTGAAGTTGATGGAGTGAAATGAATCATAACTATCAGTGCAGAAATAAAGCTTGGTCAGTCAAAAATTTGCTAAATCTGACACTGCAACCAGGATACCTTACCTCCAGTGTAATGTGAATTCAACAGTTAACCACTATTTCTAGACGGATGGGCCTGTGATGAATTTCAACATTTCCAACAACGAATATTGAAATCATGATGTTCATGAACGGAAAATGCAACGACAACTCATAAGGTGTGCAGTGCAACGAAGTTTGCAAAACAAGTGTGCATAACAAAGTGCAACACTGATAAAAAATAACATGGTTGGATGCTACTTCTTGTACTATACAGACCCTCTATCTGCCCAGATGTCCAACACTCACCTTTCTCCACAGAGTGCAGCAGTCCTTCGTAGTGCTGGCTGGCCTTGTTGTAGCCACTCTGCACCTGCATGCGGTCGTCTGCACCAAACAGCTGGGAGTCCTGGCTGTCTCTTAAGAAGTCTTGGTAGTGGAGTTCCAGGTTCCTCAAAGCTAGCCTGTACTCCTCCACCCTCAGGGTCTTAAACTGTAGTGAAAGAAGAAAGATAGGGAGGGTGAGCGTGGTTAGGAAGAGTGTTATACTCTCTTTGCCTGAATTCCATTCGAACCCCCCATTCCAGTACCTTTGGAATTGTATAGCTAAGAATAAATCATTCTGTGGGCGTAATTCAATTCTACAACCAAGAGACACCATTTACATTACATTTTAGTCATTTAGCAGACACTCTTATCCAGAGCGACTTACATGAGCAATTAGGGTTAAGTGCCTTGCTTATGGGCACATCAACAGATTTTTCACCTAGTCGGCTCAGGGATTAGAACCAGCAACCTTTCGGTTACTGGCACAACGCTCTTACCCACTAAGCTACCTGCCGCCCCACCCATCTAATAACTAAAACATGTCCTTTATTCTCTGATCTACTGTCTCCAAAAAGTCTATGGGTACATCCCAAATGACACCCTATTCCCTATGTAGTGCACTACCTTTGACCAAGGTGCACTACATAGGGAATAAGGTTCCATTTGAGACACAGCCTGTGTGAAACTATGAGCTCACCATGGTGATGTTCCATGAGGTGATGAGGTGGATGTCTCTCATCAGGTACTGCCAGGACATGAGGCTCTTCATGTCCACGTACAGCATCTGCCACAGGACCAGCAGGTTCTGGTGACTAGCGTCCAGACTGTGGGGGTAGGTTAAAGGTTAGTGAACCATACAGGTGCTGGGGTCAAACGTCTTTACGAGGCATCAAAGGTCTGTCAAAGGTTAAATCAAAGGGCTAAATCAAAGGTTTTAGCCATGCTATTTTAGTCTGGTAGCCAGTCTGTTTCTGCTCTCTTGCCAACTCCTTATGGAATTGTCATGCCAAACATGTTTGGAATGATAATGACAATGGAGTGGGCAAGAGCACAAAAAGATCTGGTACCAGGCTAATGTTGTTAATGGTAAGGCTAAATCAAAGGTTTTTGCCATGTTGTTTTATGGCAAGGAGATGATTGGTCGCCTCACCCTGAGACGCCGCTCACTGCGTCCTTATTGGTGGGAGGAACCAGGAAACAGATGGAGGGCACGGTGGCCTTGCTGCCTTTGGGGTTCTGCACTTTCCACTTGTACGGCTGAGAGTTGTCCAGCAATGCACACTCCTCCCCTCTGTGGACTGTGAGCTGGAAAGAGGTACAAAATGGACGTCCACGTTGTACTGTATCTGACCAGTTCTAATGACAAGCCTTCAAGCTTGACTAATAGATAAATAGATAAATAAAATCAACAGATACTACTGATTTTCTACTTCTAAGTGTCACTCATCTACACTGAGTGTACAAAATATTAGGAACACCCTTTTGCCCTCAGAACAGCCTCAATTTGTCGGGGCATGGACTCTACAAGGTGTCGAACCGGTGCGCCTGGCACCAACTACCACACCCTGTTCAAAGCCACTTAAATATTCTGTCTTGCCCATTCACCCTCTGAATGGCACACATACACAATCCATGTCTCAATGCAAAAAAAAGTATTCTTTAACCTGTCTCCTCCCCTTCATCTACACTGATTGAAGTGCATTTAACAGGTAACATCAAAAAGAGATCATCGCTTTCACCAGTCACCTGGTCAGTCTGTGTCATGGAAAGAGCAGGTGTTCATAATGTTTTGTACACTCAGTGTATGCTTTGAATAAACACTACATTTCCACTGATTCTGATAGAATGCGCTTATACACTATAAAAACGGATAAGTCCTGGCTGCTCAAAAATTGAGGAAACCGATTACCTCAAAAAAATTAAGTCAAGAAACTTAAATAGCTGAAGTGAGCAGTATTACCTTCATATGAGTAATACAAATGCAGTTTTTTGAATAAGGTATACTTAAATTTAACACCCCCACTAAGCCACGCCTCCAATCATTTCCCGTGTGCCTTGGCTCTTCAATTGAATTGTAGAGTTACCACCCATGACTGTAATTGTTAGTGACAGAGACATGGTTGTTGAATTCGTTCATTTTCAGTCCTGTGGCCTTCACCAAGTGAGTTCCTAGGCAAATGTTATCATTATAATAAAACCATTACAAATACATAAGGCCTTATACAGTGGCCTGAAACTCATAGTTTACCGGTCACATCAGGCCTGCAAGTAGGGTTGCAAAATTCCACAAACTTTCCCAAAACTTCTAGTAATATTCCAACCAGGATTTCTGGAAAACCTCAGAATTTTACCAGAATTTTACAACCCTAATTGTAAATTACATTATGCTGGCTTGCAAAGTGATGTGTAACTCCAATTGGAATCTAGCCAGAGTTAGGCTACCCAACAGTTGAAATCTGTATTCACCCGCAACCTGTATTCATAATGACTGCTAGGGTTAAGAACAGTGGGAGGAGACGACCTAAGCCATTTAAACTGGAACAACCATTTCAGTAACAGGTACAAAAATGCAATGATTGGATTAGTTTAGTTAAATGTTATTTATCTTTGTGTAGCATAACATTTAATCAATCAATCACTCAATGTACATGCAAAAACACAGATCTTTATAAATAAAATTTTTTTATCAACCTGCATTAGAGCATGCTGGGAAAAAGTTCATTTGTTATCATATCTTTAAAAAACAGAGTTAGTGTGACTTCTCATTTAGTTTTGAGTCAGTACAACAAACATTTTAAGTAATAATTACTTTTCATTGACTTTGAGTACAACTTACTAGAAGTATTTGAGTTAAAACTGCCTTGGGGTTTACAGTGTACTAAGTAGTAGCCTAAGAGTGTTTGCTCCTCCACTGGAAAGCTGGTCACATGAACATTAATATCTCCTCACCTCCATCTGTTTGAAGTCGCAGACGGCCTGGACAGGCACTTTGCCCTTGACTGGTGTAGCAGGGTTACGTGGCTTCAGCTGGACAATGGTCTTGGCCCTCCGATTCATCCCATCCAAGTGGGTCTTAAACTCTTTCAGTTGCTCCTTCTCATCCTATATAGAAAACACCACATTGTATTGAATAAAACAGACAATGACAGGTGCTGTTGCTTTAGTAATGTCACTGAAGTAGAGTTGCTGAATTTCCTCTTCACTTCTTCAAGTAGAGTAAGTCAACCTACAACTGCGTCCTGTAACAAGTCCTCGAGTCGTGTTACAGTAATGTTACGGTCGCACGTGTATTTCTTCTTCATTGTCTTCTGCATCTTTTTCATCTTCTCCTCTGCCTCTTTCACGTCAGAGAAAAACTACAACGGGTAGAAAAGGAGGAGCACAAACCGTTTTAAAGATAGGATGATGTATTTTAAGAAGTGTTTTTATGCTCATTGGACTATCTGAGGGGGATATATGAGTTGGCATACTTGGAAGTAGGCAGTGTTCTCTTTCAGGTGGGACTCGATGCAACAGCAAAGCTGCAGGATCCAGCTCCACTGGGTCTGCAGGGCTGCAGTGAAGGCCTTTAGTGGAGAGAGAGAAATGGGTGTGAGACAACAATTGGCCTCTTAAAAAAAGAGCTTTAACAAACCACCTATTCTCATGTCCTCTGCTCTAAGACATAAAAGACAAAGTGTTAAATACATACTGTAATACAGGGGTAGGCCACTAGATTTAGCCGCGGGATGATTTTTGTCTGAGCGGATGGTCAAGGGGCCGGAACATAATTATAATAATTTAACCACCGTAAATTGAACACAAGTAATCCCAAAAAGAGATTGTTTTTGAAGATAACATGATAATTTCATACCTTGATTACATTGAGACACAATCACAAATCTTTATTTTTATTCATTGATGAAATACTTGGGAACATATTTCCTCAATTTAAATCATTTTTAGCTGAATTCCTGGTGATATTAAGTATTTTTTCTCACCTCTACAGTCGTCTTGGCAGGGTGTCCCTCCTTCAGCAGTTTATCTCCTTGGACCTGGACACTGTTGACCCTCTTCTCCCTGTGCTCCAGCTCTTTCATCAACCCCTGAAATAAACCAAAGAAAACACTCAGAGTTATGGCAAGAGGGGGGATATTACTAGATATGCAAGTGCATCCCTAATCATAATAAATTAATTACTTTAATGATTTTTTCATTGGCAAGATTAGCCAATTTAGGCATGACATGCCAGCAACAAATGCTGACACTACACATCCAAGTATAACTGATCAAATTATGAAAGACAAGTATTGTAATTTTTAATTCCGTAATTGAGTGTGAAAGAGGTGAAAAACGTATTGTTGTCTATCAACAATGACAAGCCACCGGCGTCTGACAACTTGGATAGAAAATGATTGAGGATAATAGCGGACGATATTGCTACTCCTATTTGCCATATCTTCAATCTAAGCCTACTAGAAAGTGTGTGCCCTCAGGCCTGGAGGGAAGGAAAAGTCATTCTGCTACCCAAGAACAGCAAAGCCCCCTTTACTGGCTCAAATAGCTGACCAATCCGCCTGTTACCAACCCTTAATAAACTTTTGGAAAAAATGGTGTTTGACCATTTACAATGCTATTTTACAGTAAATAAATTGACAACAGACTTTCAGCATGCTTATATGGATGGACATTCAACAATCACGGCACTTACATAAATGACTGATGATTGGCTGAGAGAAATTGATGATCAAAATATTGTGGGAGCTGTTTTGTAAGACTTCAGCGTGGCTTTTGACATTATTGATCATAGCTCTTGCTAGAAAACATATGTGTATGGCTTTACACCCCCTGCTATATTGTAGATAAAGAGTTATCTGTCTTACAGAACACAGAGGGTGTTCTTTAATGGAAGCCTCTCCAAAATAATCCAGGTAGAATCAGGAATTCCCCAGGGCAACTGTCTAGGCCCCTTACTTTTTTCCATTTTTACTAATGACATGCCATTGGCTTTGAGTGAAGCCAGTGTGTCTATGTATGCGGATGACTCAACACTATACACGTCCGCTACTACAGTGAGTGAAATCACTGTAACACTTAACAAAGATCTGCAGTTAGTTTCAGAATGGGTGTCAAGGAATAAGTTAGTCCTAAATATTTCATAAACTAAAAGCATTGTATTTGGGACAAATCATTCACCTCAACTAAATCTTGTAATAAATAATGTGGAAATTCAATAAGTTGAGGGGACTAAACTGCTTGGAGTAACCCTGGATTGTAAACTGTCATAGTCAAAACATGTTGATACAACAGTAGCTAAGCTGGGGAGAAGCCTGTCCATAATAAAGCGCTGCTTTACCTTCTTAACAACACTATCAACAAGGCAGGTCCTACAGGCCCTAGTTTTGTCGCACCTGGACTACTGTTCAATCGTGTGGTCAGGTGCCACAAAGAGGCCCTTAAATGTACACAGAGAGCTAACGTGGCTCAAAGTGGAGGAGAGATTGACTTCATCACTACTTGTTTTTGTAAGAAGTGTTGACATGCTGAATGCACTAAGGTGTCTGTTTAAACTACTAGCACACAGCTCGGACACCCATGCATACCCCACAAGACATGCCTCCAGAGGTCTCTTCACAATCCCCAAGTCAAGAACAGACTATGGGAGGCGCACAGTACTATATAGAGCCATGACTACATGGAATTCTATTCCACATCAGGTAACTGATGCAAGCAGTATAATTAGATTTAAAAAACTGATAAAAATACACCTTATTGAACAGCGGGGACTGTGAAGAGATACACACAAACAGGAACAGACACACGCATATGCACACACACGCTAGCGCACGCATTCTACACACACTTACATTGTAATATTGTTGTATGGTGGTATTATAAATGTTTGTATTGTAGATATGTAGTGTAATAATGTTATATGATGTACTGTTTTATCTTTTGTTTTATGTGTGATGTAATTGCCTTAATGTGTTTGGACCCCAGGAAGAGTAGCTGCTGCCTTGGATGCAGCTAATGGGGATACTTAATAAATACAAATACAAAAAATTATAATTAAACAGAATCTGATCACAAGCTAATTAAAGATGGCAGTACTACTGTTCTGTACAGTGCAATAACTTTTTACTTTACCCTACAAGATACCGTCCTATGCCTAACTCTCTTCGTATTTAACTGAGGTTGAACTTTCCAGCTATGGTGAGGATGAGAACAGCCATACCGAGTAGTTGTCTTTCTTGGTGGTCATGTTGGTGTTCCGTTCACTCCAGTCATAGTTAACTTCCTCCTCTTCCTTTTCATTCAGCCACATCAACTCCTTGGTGGCTGCAGTGACAAAGGCATGAAGCCCGTCCAGGCTGCGCAGACGAGCCTTGGAAGAACTCTGAGGAGAAAATAATATAAATGAGATTGGAGAAGACCCATTTGATAAATGGCAGATAGTTGAAAAGTTGTTGTTGTACGTTAATATCTTGAGTCTAGAACATACCAGAAGCTTGCCATAATGCAACTCCAGCTTGGATAAGTTGTCTCTGTAGGCACCTTTGCTGACAGGGGAGAGCTGACTCTGAAGGGGAATAGAAAAAGAGACTAAAGATTAGAGAAGAAGCAGGGTTAAATAAAGAAGCAGTCAGACTACATTTTGGCATTAACCAAAGAGGATCAATGATGGTATGACTGAATCAGTCCAATTCCAATCCCATCCCAGGTAGGTTTTCCCAATGTACCTCGTCTGCTTTTGCCCTGCCGATCTTAGCATGGAACTCCTCCACTGACTGGTGCAGGCCACGGTGGCTGCCCAGCTGGGACTCCACGGAGGGCAGGTCCGAGCCCCATTCCCCCCGGTCCACCCGCCTCTGGTTCTCCTCCACCCAGGCCAGCAGGTCCTGGATGTAGCGCAGGGTCACCTCGTCCAGCTCGGGACGCACCCTCATGGGGGCCTGCTGGAGGGTCTGCATCTGGGACATGGGTATCTGGGTGGTGGTTACCCCGGACTTCAGGCGCAGATTGTACTCACTGCGCAGGTTCACCAGCCGCTCGTGGAGACGGTACACTCTAGAGGTAAAACAGCAGGAACAATGATGACTCGTTCAATAACAACAAAACAGGTATTTCAATCAATTGGATTGAACAAGTTGTCATAAATATGTAAAGACATAGTAATAATATAATAGTTACAATACAGTAAGGGCTAAGGTGTCATCCCGTGTCGCAAAAGGCCTCACAATAATACAGTAATGCTCTGAGTGAATGACAGTAATGCAGTGGTTGTTCTGACCTGCGGTACATCTGTTCAGCTTGTAGGTGGCGTCCATCCTTCAGCAACTGCACGTCATTGAAGAGGTACCGGATCATGCCCTCGGCCTTGTCCAGGTCTGTCTCTACCTCTGCTGTGTGCATAGCAGGCTTTCCTGAGCTCAGCAAACGGACATCCTAGAAGATAGATACAGTCTAAACACCATGACACCATGTGTTCCATCTTGAATAAAGCATCAGTAGACATCAGTCCATCAGACATCAGGCCTGAGAATGCTTTTGAACATCAGAACACATCCAGTCTCGCATAACTGAGGGGTATTAATTCACTGTATCATTGACTAGACTCAGTCTAGCATGGGTTTGTAGTGACAAATCTGTTAGGCCACAGACTGTACATTATACAGTCTATATTGGCTAGTGACTGTCTGCCCCGACAGGGTGTGAGACTCACCGTCTGTAGCAGGCCCTCAACCTGGTTGAGCTGCTCCTCACACACCCCAGACTCCATCTGGACCTTACTGACAATCCTCTGCAGCCGCTCCAGCCTGAGGGTCAAAGGTCAACACATCAGTTGAGACATGTTCCACAGTCTATCATAACTCAGCTCTTAGGCTGAGGTATCGTCTAATGAGGTAACGAGATAACTCAATGATGGTACTGTAAATCATGACTGGCAATACTCTCCTCAAAGACAACACTGGCCCCTTGGCCAGATCCCTTGTGAAATAAGTATTTTGACATCAATGGGACAACCTTGTTGAATAAAGATACAATAATACATTTTTCAAACCCGGCCAAAGAGTAACCCTCGCTTAATGGCGCATGTATGTCTCCATCTCAGAAACGTTATGCAGGCACGGTAAAACACTCACTCCTTCTCGATCTTCTTGCGAAGTAAATACTCTAAACCATAGCTCTGACTGGCAAAGGCCATGATGGATTCACAGACAGCTTGTCCTCCCCAGTAGCTATGATGACTGTCCACAGGATGTTGTAATGTGATAAGGTCTTGAGTGGTTAGCTGTGCCGTGACTCACAGCCCACAGTAGCTTACCCGGCCGCTGCCCTGACTGCTTACGTTAAGACTGGAAGTCTTGTGATGAGAGACCAACTCTTACCAGAAACGACATACACCCTGCTTGTGATTTGGAAAGGATTGTCCGATAATAACTTGCAAGGAGACAACTAATCACATTATTGAAAGGTTTTGAACTCTTTGCCATGGAAACGGCAGTGTCTGGATCTTTCAATGATTCATTGTGGGGTTGTCCAGCTATCTTTATCTCACAATGTCTTCTCACATCCACCAAACTGGTTATAATCCACATAGTTACAGCTGTCACGTCTCCTCCCGTTGCTCCCCTCCGGTGCTCTGATTCGCCGGTCTACTGAGCCACCGGTCTGAGCGCACCACCTCGGCAATACCGGAATGGAAACCCAGCGCACCCTAATCACCTCTAGCGCACCTGCACCTCATCATCTCATCACCACCCCTATATAGCCCTGGACTGTTCAGTGTTGTGTTGTCGTCGTGTACTCGCTCTTTGTTGTTCTCTTGCTCAGTGTTAAGTAAACCTTTACATACAGTGGGGGAAAAAAGTATTTAGTCAGCCACCAATTGTGCAAGTTCTCCCACTTAAAAAGATGAGAGAGGCCTGTAATTTTCATCATAGGTACACGTCAACTATGGCAGACAAATTGAGGAAAAAAAATCCAGAAAATCACATTGTAGGATTTTTAATGAATTTATTTGCAAATTATGGTGGAAAATAAGTATTTGGTCACCTACAAACAAGCAAGATTTCTGGCTCTCACAGACCTGTAACTTCTTCTTTAAGAGGCTCCTCTGTCCTCCACTCGTTACCTGTATTAATGGCACCTGTTTGAACTTGTTATCAGTATAAAAGACACCTGTCCACAACCTCAAACAGTCACACTCCAAACTCCACTATGGCCAAGACCAAAGAGCTGTCAAAGGACACCAGAAACAAAATTTTAGACCTGCACCAGGCTGGGAAGACTGAATCTGCAATAGGTAAGCAGCTTAGTTTGAAGAAATCAACTGTGGGAGCAATTATTAGGAAATGGAAGACATACAAGACCACTGATAATCTCCCTCGATCTGGGGCTCCACGCAAGAGCTCACCCCGTGGGGTCAAAATTATCACAAGAACGGTGAGCAAAAATCCCAGAACCACACGGGGGGACCTAGTGAATGACCTGCAGAGAGCTGGGACCAAAGTAACAAAGCCTACCATCAGTAACACACTACGCCGCCAGGGACTCAAATCCTGTAGTGCCAGACGTGTCCCCCTGCTTAAGCCAGTACATGTCCTGGCCCGTCTGAAGTTTGCTAGAGTGCATTTGGATGATCCAGAAGAGGATTGGGAGAATGTCATATGGTCAGATGAAACCACAATAGAACTTTTTGGTAAAAACTCAACTCGTCGTGTTTGGAGGACAAAGAATGCTGAGTTGCATCCAAAGAACACCATACCTACTGTGAAGCATGGAGGTGGAAACATCATGCTTTGGGACTGTTTTTCTGCAAAGGGACCAGGACGACTGATCCGTGTAAAGGAAAGAATGAATGGGGCCATGTATCGTGAGATTTTGAGTGAAAACCTCCTTCCATCAGCAAGGGCATTGAAGATGAAATGTGGCTGGGTCTTTCAGCATGACAATGATCCCAAACACACCGCCCGGGCAACGAAGGAGTGGCTTCGTAAGAAGCATTTCAAGGTCCTGGAGTGGCCTAGCCAGTCTCCAGATCTCAACCCCATAGAAAATCTTTGGAGGGAGTTGAAAGTCCGTGTTGCCCAGCGACAGCCCCAAAACATCACTGCTCTAGAGGAGATCTGCATTGAGGAATGGGCCAAAATACCAGCAACAGTGTGTGAAAACCTTGTGAAGACTTACAGAAAACGTTTGACCTGTGTCATTGCCAACAAAGGGTATATAACAAAGTATTGAGAAACTTCTGTTATTGACCAAATACTTATTTTCCACCATAATTTGCAAATAAATTCATAAAAAATCCTACAATGTGATTTTCTGGATTTTTTCCCCTCATTTTGTCTTTCATAGTTGACGTGTACCTATGATGAAAATTACAGGCCTCTCTCATCTTTTTAAGTGGGAGAACTTGCACAATTGGTGGCTGACTAAATACTTTTTTTCCCCACTGTAGTTGATTCCTGCGTCTGTGTCCTGCCTCTTCGTATCCTCAGTACTCGTCACAGAATCACACACCAATCACGAAGATGGATGCAGCAGGTAATCCTCCTGAAGTTTCCCAGCGCCTCTACCAGCACCAGCAGCAGATTGCCCAGCTGAACGCCGCCATTCAGGAGGTGCTCCAAACGCTGCATAAACTGACCATCGCTCCGGTTCTACCTCAGGGAGCGGCGAGTGCACCCAGTCCACCTCCTCCCCTGCTATCACCGACGTCTGAAGGACCCATCGCCCTGCCGGAGTGCTATGACGGGAAAACAACGAAATGTAGAGGCTTCCTGCTACAGGTTTCACTGTATCTGGCGAGTCAGGATAGCGCTGGTGATTTCGCTACTGAAGGGAAAGGCGCTGGATTGGGCCACGGCAGTCTGGGAAGGAGGTGAGGCCACGGCGCTTCCCTACTCCACCTTTTTCACTCGGTTCAGGGTGGTGTTCAATCATCCCACGGAGAGAAAGGACGGGGGTGAGCGTCTCCTCTGGCTACAACAGGGAGAGGGGGCCGCGTTTGAGTAAGCCCTAAGCTTTCGCACGGTGGCGGCATCTTCCGGCTGGAATGAGCGTGCTCTGCGCATGGCCTTCAGGAGAGGCTTACGGGAGGACATCACGATGGAACTCGCATGTTGGGACGATGAGATGGACCTTGATACCCTCATCGCCACGTCCACTTGTCTTGACGACATGTTGAGAGACCGACAGCATTCCCAACACCTCCTGGAGCCTCGACGCTACCCCATCGGAGCTATGGAAGCCACCCTGCTTCCGAGTCCTCACCCATGGAGGTGGGCAGCACCCCCTACACCACCACGGACCACAGATCTCCTGGTGGTTCGCTATCTAGGCGGTATGACTCCCGTCGCCGCTCCGTGAGTGTTCTGTCATCAACTGTCACCAAACCATTGTTTTTAGTTCCCCTAACTGTGAATGGTTCTTCCTTCTCTTCGCTTTCCACGGCAATTATAGTTTCCGGATCAGCAGGGAACCTTATAGATGGGGATCTGGTCTCTGAATGGGGGTTGTCCATCATGCCACTGCCTTCTCCGCTACACATCACCTCGCTGGCCAATAAACCACTTGGATCAGGCACCATTACGCACGTCACTCTCCCCAACACATCACCATTCCCACACTACCGGAGCACCACGAGGAGCTGTCCTTCCACATCGTCACGTCACCCCTTCACCGGATTGTCTTGGGATTGCCCTGGCTCAGACTACACAACCCCACCATCAATTGGATCACCAAGAGGATCACAGCCTGGTCCCCCTAATGCCGGAGGACCTGCCTGCCGGTGGTTTGTTGTTCCACGTCAGTGGAGAGTCCGGAGTCCGCCCTCCAGCCCAAAATTCTATGTGAGTACGCAGATCTCTCCGATGTCTTCTCTGCCTCCAAGGCTAAGTGTCTCCCTCCTCACAGGCCCTGGGACTGCGCCATTGACCTGCTGGAGGGACAACACCCCCTGAAGAGTCGCGTTTACTCCCTCTCCAAAGCGGAGACTGAGGCCATGGAGAAGTATGTGGTGGAGACCCTGAAACAGGGGTTCATCAGACGCTCTACCTCTCCTGCCTCCGCCAGCTTCTTCTTCGTGGCCAAAAAAGATGGAGGACTGAGGCCGTGCATTGACTACTGGGGGCTGAACGCAGTCACCACCAAGTACAGCTACCCCTCCCTCTGGTTCCGTCTGCCATCTAGCAGCTGCGAGGGGCCCGGTACTTTACCATGTTAGACCTGAGGAGTGCCTACAACCTGATCCGAATCCAGGAAGGAGACGAGTGGAAGACTGCATTCAGCACTACCTCAGGCCACTATGAATACTGCGTCATGCCCTACGGCCTCGCCAACGCACCTTCTGTGTTCCAGTCCTTCGTCTATGACGTGTTTCGAAACATGCTGAGTAGACAGGTGGTGGTGTACATTGACGATATCCTGATCTACTCGGCTACGTTCGAGGAGCACGTCAGAGCGGTTCTACTCCGCCTTCGGGAACACAGCCTGTTGGTGAAGAGGGAGAAATGTGAATTCCACCAACAGGCCATCTCCTTCCTGGGATACAGGATCAGTCCTCAGGGGGTGTTCATGGAAAAAGCGAAGACAGACACCGTCAGGTCAGGGCCAGTCCCCATCACCATCAAGGGCCTACAGAGCTTCCTGGGCTTCGCACATTTCTACCAGCGTTTCATCAGGTCATTCAGCTCCATAGCCGCCCTGCTCACCTCTCTCTTTAAGGGTGGGCCTCAGAAGCCAGCCTGGAACCCTGAGGCTGACGCTGCCTTCAAGAGGCTGAAGGAGAGGTTCACCACAGTGCCCCTCCTAAAACACCCAGATCCAGCTCATCCTTCATCCTGGAGGTGGACGCATCTGAGGAGGGCGTGGGTGGGGCCCTCTCCCAGTGGCAAGGTATGCCAGAGAAAATGTATCCCTGTGCCTTTTTCTCAAAAAAGCTTAACCCCGCAGAGAGGAACTATGGAGTTGGAGACAGGGAGCTGTTGGCGGTGGTCCTCGCTCTGGAGGAATGGAGACACTGGCTGGATGGGTCCATTCCGGATTCTCACTGACCACCGGAATTTGGAGCACATACATGCAGCGAAACTGATGAACTCTTGTCACGTCAATTGGGCCCAATTTTCTTACTCGCTTTCAGTTTATTCTGTCCTACCGCCCAGGATCTGGATGAATGTGAAAGCCGATGCACTCTCCAGGATGCACCATTCCGGAGAAAGGAAGGATCTGGGGGGTCCTATACTGCCTCCGTCTCTCATCGTGGCACCTGTCGTTTGGGATATGGACGAAGACATCCGCCTGTCGGCTCAGGAGGACCCAGCACCTGCCAACGCCCCTCCGGTGCGCGTGAATGTACCCACCAGGGTCCGTGACCGCCTGCTGATCTGGGCGCACACCACCCTTTCGGCAGGGCACTCCGGTATGACGCGCACCCTACATTCTCTCTCACAACAATACTGGTGGCCCACCTTGGCTGCTGATGTCTCCCGCTATGTCAACTCCTGTTCCGAATGTGCCCAAACGAAGACACCTCGGAATGCCCCGGCAGGCAAACTAGTTCCTCTCCCAGTGCCTCAGCGACCTTGGTCACACCTGTCCATAGACTTTGTCACCGACCTCCCATGTTCTGACGGCTTCACCACAGTCCTGGTGGTCGTAGACAGGTTCTCCAAATCATGCTGTTTTTTGCCACTAACTGGTCTTCCTTCTGCTCTCCAGGTCGCTGAGGTCCTGTTCCAACAGGTCTACCGGCATTATGGACTTCCGGAGGACATTGTCTTGGACCATGGCCCCCAATTCACCTCCCGAGTGTGGAAGGCTTTCCTGGAGAAGATTGGGGCCACGGCCAGCCTCACTTCTGGGTATAGGCATCAGTCGAATGGGCAGGTGGAGCGCATAAACCAGGAGCTGAAGAGGTTTCTTCGTTGCCACTGTCAGGACTGGCAGGGTGAGTGGGCGAGGTTTCTTCCCTGGGCAGAATATGCCCAGAACTCCCTCGTTCACTCCTCCACAGGGCTCACTCCCTTCCAGTGCGTCCTGGGGTACCAGCCGGCCCTGGCCCCTTGGACACCCAGCCAGACCGATGCGCCCGCTGTCGACGAGTGGTTCCGCAGGGCTGGATAGGTCTGGGACGCCGCCTATGTCCATCTCCAGAGGGCCATTCGTCGGCAGAAGGACCAAGCCGACCGCCACCGCAGTGAGGCCCCTGTATTCCAGCCTGGTGATCGTGTCTGGCTGTCCACTAAAAACCTCCCTCTCCGCCTGCACTGCAAGAAACTGAGCCCCCGGTTTGTGGGGCCGTTTAAGGTCCTCCGGCGGCTAAATGAGGTATCGTACCGGCTGCTCCTTCCCCCTCACTACCGTATCTCATCCACTTTTCATGTGTCTCTCCTCAGGCCAGTGGTTCCTGAGGATATGCGGTGAGGGACCTGCTGGACTCCAGGTTCCGTGGAGGACGGCTCCGTTACCTGGTGGACTGGGAGGGGTATGGTCCTGAGGAGAGGAGCTGGGTTCCGGCTGGGGACGTTCTGGACCCCAACCTAATTCGGGACTTCCACCGTCGCGGCCCTGACCGGCCCGCTCCTCGGGGTCATCCTCCTGGCTGGTGACGTCCTGCTGCGGTAGCCTCGTGACCGGGGGGGGGGGGGGGGGGGTACTGTCACGTCTCCTCCCGTTGCTCCCCTCCGGCGCTCTGATTCACCGGTCCACTGAGCCACCGGTCTGAGCGCACCTCCTCGGCAACAACGGAATGGAAACCCAACGCACCCTAATCACCTCCAGCACACCTGCACATCATCATCTCATCATCTCATCATCTCATCACCACCCCTATACAGCCCTGGACTGTTCAGTGTTGTGTTGTGTGTGATTGTTAGTGTCTTGTCGTGTACTCGCTCTTTGTTGTTCTCTTGCTCAGTGTTAAGTAAACCTTTACATTGTTGATTCCTGTGTCTGAATCCTGCCTCTTCGTAGCCTCAGTACTCGTCACAACAGCAGTCACATAGTTACAGAAGCCTTTGGGGTTTAAATGCAATTTTTTAACAATGTTTTATGTCTTGTTTCATTTATTACTTCTAATAAAAACTGAGGTTGCTTTAACAACTGAAACACAACAGAAACACCATGTGACAGAGTCCCTAAATCGAGAATTTCTCCTCAAAACTCCATCTAACAAAAACACTTGTAACAGATTTCAGCATCATCTCACAGATGAAGGTATAATCTCAAACACCACAGTTTTGTACGTCTGTATAATGGCTGACCCACCTCTCAAATTCTGTCCTTAGAAGACGCTCTCTCTCCAGTATGGCTACATGCAGATGACCCCACTCCTTCTCCACATCGATAGGGTGGATCCCTGGGGGCACCTTGACATGACCGACCTGAACTGCACCCTGCAAGGACAGACACATACAGGCAAGTCAGGAAGACTTTCAAAAAAAGGGCCAGCATTTATTTGATACAGTTAGTTGATGTAACTATTCTTTAGTTTAAAAAAAATTCACTCTGGGTGTTTCGGCTTGCACCTTCTTCTCTTTTTAGAGGTTTATTTACTAACCTCAAATGACTTGTAGATGTGTTTGGATCGATTCTTGTCAGCTTCCTTTGCAGGCAGCTCTGTCTCCTTGAACTTCAGAAACTGGCGCCAAAGAACCTGTGGATTTAAAATGTTGCTGAATTAATTCAACATGACAACTGAACATAGATCTTGTTTCATCACATCCCTCAGACAATTCTCAGAAATCAGAGACAAACAGTTAGAGTATTTCCTTATCAAGCAAGACATAAGGCCTATAACTGTAACTTCTATAACTGCTACCCCACAGTGGCCCCAATATGAAAGAAACAAATCAAATCAAATCAAATGTTATTGGCCACATGCGCCGAATACAACAGGTGCAGACATTACAGTGAAATGCTTACTTACAGCCCTTAACCAACAGTGCATTTATTTTTAATAAAAAAGTAAAATAAAACAACAACAAAAAAGTGTTGAGAAAAGAAAGAGCAGAAGTAAAATAAAATAACAGTAGGGAGGCTATATATACAGGGGGGTACCGGTGCAGAGTCAATGTGCGGGGGCACCGGCTAGTTGAGGTAGTTGAAGTAATATGTACATGTGGGTAGAGTTAAAGTGAATATGCATAAATAATTAACAGAGTAGCAGCAGCGTAAAAAGATGGGGTGGGGGGGGGGGGCAGTGCAAATAGTCCGGGTAGCCATGATTAGCTGTTCAGGAGTCTTATGGCTTGGGGGTAGAAGCTGTTGAGAAGTCTTTTGGACCTAGACTTGGCACTCCGGTACCGCTTGCCGTGCGGTAGCAGAGAGAACAGTCTATGACTAGGGTGGCTGGAGTCTTTGACAATTTTGAGGGCCTTCCTCTGACACCGCCTGGTATAGAGGTCCTGGATGGCAAAAAGCTTGGCCCCAGTGATGTACTGGGCCGTACGCACTACCCTCTGTAGTGCCTTGCAGTCGGAGGCCAAGCAGTTGCCATACCAGGCAGTGATGCAACCAGTCAGGATGCTCTCGATGGTGCAGCTGTATAATTTTTTGAGGATCTGAGGACCCATGCCGTATCTTTTCAGTCTCCTGAGGGGGAATAGGCTTTGTTGTGCCCTCTTCACGACTGTCTTGGTGTGTTTGGACCATGATAGTTTGTTGGTGATGTGGACACCAAGGAACTTGAAGCTCTCAACCTGTTCCACTACAGCCCCGTCGATGAGAATGGGGGCGTGCTCAGTCCTCTTTTTTTTCCTGTAGTCCACAATCATCTCCTTTGTCTTGGTCACGTTGAGGGAGAGGTTGTTATCCTGGCACCACACGGCCAGGTCTCTGACCTCCTCCCTATAGGCTGTATCATCGTTGTCTGTGATCAGGCCTACCACTGTTGTGTTGTCGGCAAACTTAATGATGGTGTTGGAGTCGTGCCTGGCCATGCAGTCATGGGTGAACAGGGAGTACAGGAGAGGACTGAGCACGCACCCCTGAGGGGCCCCCGTGTTGAGGATCAGTGTGGCAGATGTGTTGTTACCTACCCTTACCACCTGGGGGTGGCCCGTCAGGAAGTCCAGGATCCAGTTGCAGAGGGAGGTGTTTAGTCCCAGGATCCTTAGCTTAGTGATGAGCTTTGAGGGCACTATGGTGTTGAATGCTGAGCTGTAGTAAATGAATAGCATTCTCACGTAGGTGTTCCTCTTGTCCAGTTGGGAAAGGGCAGTGTGGAGTGCAATAGAGATTGCATCATCTGTGGATCTGTTGGGGCGGTATGCAAATTAGGGTGGGTCTAGGGTTTCTGGGATAATGGTGTTGATGTGAGCCATGACCAGCCTTTCAAAGCACTTCATGGCTACAAACGTCAGTGCTACGGGTCGGTAGTCATTTAGGCAGGTTATCTTAGTGTCCTTGGGCTAGGGACTATGGTGGTCTGCTTGAAACATGTTGGTATTACAGACTCAGTCAGGGACATGTTGAAAATGTCAGTGAAGACACTTGCCAGTTGGTCAGCACATGCTCGGAGTACACGTCCTGGTAATCCGTCTGGCCCTGCGGCCTTGTGAATGTTGACCTGCTTAAAAGTCTTACTCACATCGGCTACGGAGAGTGTGACCACATAGTCATCCGGAACAGCTGGTGCTCTCATGCATGCTTCAGTGTTGCTTGCCTCGAAGCGAGCATAGAAGTGGTTTAGCTCGTCTGGTAGGCTTGTGTCACTGGGAAGCTCGCGGCTGTGCTTCCCTTTGTAGTCTGTAATAGTTTTCAAGCCCTGCCACATCCGACGAGCGTCAGAGCCGGTGTAGTACGATTCAATCTTAGTCCTGTATTGACTCTTTGCCTGTTTGATGGTTCTTCGGAGGGCATAGCGGGATTTCTTATAAGCGTCCGGGTTAGAGTCCCACTCCTTGAAAGCGGCAGCTCTACCCTTTAGCTCAGTGCGGATGTTTCCTGTAATCAATGGCTTCTGGTTGGGGTATGTACGTACGGTCACTGTGGGGACGACATCATCGATGCACTTATTGATGAAGCCAGTGACTGATGTGGTGTACTCCTCAATGCTATCTGAAGAATCCCGGAACATGTTCCAGTCTGTGCTAGCAAAACAGTCCTGTAGCTTAGCATCTGCGTCATCTGACCACTTTTTTATTAACCGAGTCACTGGTGCTTCCTGCTTTAGTTTTTGCTTATAAGCAGGAATCAGGAGGATAGAGTTATGGTCAGATTTGCCAAATGGAGGGCGAGGGAGAGCTTTGTATGCGTCTCTGGGTATGGAGTAAAGGTGGTCTAGAGTTTTTTTTTTTCCCTCTGGTTGCACATTTAACATGCTGGTAGAAATTAGGTAGAACGGATTTAAGTTTCCCTGCATTAAAGTCCCCGGCCACTAGGAGCGCTGCCTCTGGATGACCGTTTTCCTGTTGACTTATGGCCTTATACAGCTCATTCAGTGCAATCTTAATGCCAGCATTGGTTTGTGGTGTTAAATAGACGGCTATGAAAAATATAGATGAAAACTCTCTTGTTAAATAGTGTGGTCTACAGCTTATCATAAGATAATCTACCTCAGGCGAGCAAAACCTCGAGACTTCCTTAGTATTTGATTTTGTGCACCAGCTGTTGTTTACAAATATACACAGACCGCCACCCCTTGTCTTACCGGAGTCAGCCGTTCTATCCTGCCGATGTAGCGTATAGCCCGCTAGCTGTATGTTATCCATGTCGTCGTTCAGCCACGACTTGGTGAAACATAAGATATTACAGTTTTTAATGTCCCGTTGGTAGGATAACCGTAATCTTAGGTCATCCAATTTATTTTCCAATGATTGAAGATTGGCTAATAGGATTGATGGAAGAGGCAGTTTACTCGCTCGCCGTCGGATCCTTACAAGGCACCCCGACCTACGTCCACGATATCTCCGTCTCTTCCTCATGCGAATGACAGGGATTTGGGCCTTGTCGGGTGTCTGTAGGATATCCTTCGCGGCCGCCTCGTTGAAGAAAAATTATTCGTCCAATACGAGGTGAGTAATCGCTGTCCTGATATCCAGAAGCTCTTTTTGGTTATAAGAGACGATGGCAGAAACATTATGTACAAAATAAATTACAAATAACGCGGAAAAACACACATAATAGTACAATTGGTTAGAGGGCTGTAAAACGGCAGCCATCTTCTCCGGCGCCATTCTAGATTCTCCCTAACACTAATTCACTGTTAAAACTGAACACAGCTTTTGTCATATACAGTATCAAGTCTCTAAGACAATTATTATAAATCAGAAACAGACAATTAAAATATTCACTTACATGTATCAAGCAAAATATTTCCCCAATAGGTGAGGAGACTTACCTCAATCTCCTCATAGCTGGTAGGGAACTTTCTCTCCTCAAACACGATGATGTGGTGTCTGATCCACTGCAGCAGCAGGGTCACTAGCTCATAGTACTCCTGCCAGCGCAGCTCCAGCTCCTGGTGGACACACAGGAGACAGGAGAAGGTTCATTAGAGAAAAGTTTAATGAAAATATATTGAACAAAAATATAAACGCAACATGTAAAGTGTTGGTCCCATTTTTCATGAGCTGAAATAAAAGATCCCAGAAGTTTTCCATATGCACAAAAAGCTTATTTCTCTCAAATGTTGTGCACAAATTTGTTTACATCCCTGTTACTGAGCATTTCTCCTTTGCCAAGATAATCCATCCACCTGACAGGTGTGGCATATCAAGAAGCTGATTAAACAGCATGATCATTACACAGGTACACCTTGTGCTGGGACAATAAAAGGCCACTCTAAAATGTGCAGTTTTGTCATACAGCACAATGCCAGAGATGTCTCAAGTTTTGAGGGAGCGTGCAATTGGCATGCTGACTGCAGGAATGTCCAACAGAGCTGTTGCCAGTGAATTTAATGTTCATTTCTCAACCATAAGCAGCCTCCACCCATGGTTGCGCCCCTCCCCAGTCATGTGAAATCCAAAGATTAGGGCTTAATGAATTTCCTTCTATGAACTGTAACTCAGTAAAATCGTTGAAATTGTTACATGTTGCGTTTATATTTTTGTTCAGTATAAATCAATTACGGTAGTCTCCATATGACTGCATTAAACATCACACCACTGGTCAAACATGGTGTAGGGTGAAGTTCCCTCTAGATGCTAATCTTGGGACAGTTTTGCATTTCCCACACTATTGGTTAATGTTAGGATTGGGGGAGGGGAAGCTGATCCTATACCTGTCCCCAAGGAAAAATTCACTCCGGAGCATCAAAGACATCTTAAAGTTTAGGGAAGATGTGACCTCATAGGTGAGACCAGGAGGAAGCCCCTTAGTGGTGATGACCTATACGGTTCCAAGAAGACGACACTCACATTGGCTTTCACCCCATCCTGGACGTCAGGTACCCGGGGCATGACGTCATACAGGGAGGACACGTATGTGATTATGGACTTCTCGTCTGGGTGTGGCACATCCACATCTTAATAGAGGGGAGACAATGAACATAAGTTAAAAACAGATTTTTTAAAAAGCTAAATGCAGGTATTCATACAAATACACTCACAGATATCCGCTAATAGTATTGACAGTAATTGAGAATACAATACAAGCAAGTTCCCTTACCTTCTGGGTCGAGCAGCCGAGTGACTCCCAGGTCTCTCTCTGCCACACTGAAGGCCTGCTCCAGGTTCTCTACATGGGTCTGTCGGTACACCTTACTCATGTCAATCAGAGTAGGCCTGGGGACAGAACATAGAGAAGGCTGTTAAAACTATGAAATTGCATCTCAGAATCTGTATTTTCTTATAGAATATAGTGCAAATGGATGTATTATATTAATCTTTGCAACCGCAAAACATTCAGGTAAAACATTAAATAGAGTTTATTTTCGAAAAACCTTTTTCTTTTTGCAGATGGTCGGGGGACCGGAACATAATTACAAATAATTTGTAGATTGCAAATTGACCGCAAGAAGCCCAAACAGATATAATATTTGACTAAAACATAATCATTTCAAACGTTGCTTACATTTGTCTCTCTATTATGCGTGGGAATACTTGGGAACAGATTTCCAAAATTTAAATCACTTGATTTCCTGGTGTTTTTACAGTCTTTTATGTCCAACAATGAAGAAGAAAAAAAACAAGTTGGGGAACCCTGCTGCAGGCAGTTTAATCATGATGGACTGCCTACATTAGATCCTGATCGACATGCCTCTCTCAGAGGAATGTGAATACAGACAGGAGCAGGGCAGGAAAAAACAAGAGCTCCTACCAACCAGTAAGTTAGAAATTCCATGTACAAATAAAACATGCAAGTAATTCCATGTACACTGCCAATAAAGGTAATTGCAGTCAAATAACATGCAGATACAAGCTTTGACTGCTTGGAATGAGCACAGGGCATCTCATATTTTCCCAGGGATTTAGCCTGGCATGGTTAAACAAAATACAGGGGTTTTGTAAACAAATTACAAAAAGGTGAAATATGCATAAATTGTTATATTCCCTTTTAGAAAATAACTAATGTCTAGAAGTAGCAACAAAAAGGAAACGGCTATCAAAGTTAATTCCAACCACCATCTTAATGAAAAAATCTCAAACCCTCCGTACACTTGCACAACTCTCTGCACATAGTAGTCTCCATGGCCACTGGGCTGATGCTCCATATCAGAGTAGAGGGCCTGTCTGTAGGAGTGTCTGTCCCTGCTCAGGTGCACTATGAGTGGTTCTGACCCTGACCCTGACCCAGACCCTGCCTCCTGCTCCCCGTTCTGGGAGCCTCGGCTGGAAGAGGACTTCCCCGGGCTCTGGGACCCCTGACCGGAGTCAAAGGAGCTGCTCTCAGCTGGGATGTCCTCACACAGCATGACTACCCGGTCCTCCAGGTCACTGACGGAGCCCTGGGTGCTGCTGGAGGTGCTGTTCAACCGTCTCTTGGAGGAGCGGAACTTCTTCTTCAGACTGTGCATCATGGTGAGGGTGTGTGTGGGTGTCCTCAACTGCAACAGTGTCCAAACAGTGTTCAAACTCTCGTCTTGCAGTTTTTTCCTTTCAGTCTTCCAAATCCATCCCCGTATGAGACTGTGACTGATGTTTTTCAGATTTTACAAGGTTCATGTTGCATTCTCACACTCCAGATACGAGAAAATAGACGTTCATACTGTAGCGGCAGTCACTCCCCCAAAACACAACTATCGTTCAAGCTTTCCAGTCCATTTTCAGTTCAGTGTCTCATATATCCGCATTGCCTTTGATTTAGTATCCCCTTTCCACAGCTAGATAATGTGCAAGCCTTGAGCGTTGACCGTCATAGAATTGAGAGATGACTTTCTCATGCATTTCCCTCATTCAATAAGTTGTGTGTGAGCCCAGACTGCTTTGTTGATTTGTCGTTCTGCAGTCTGTTTCTGTCTTGCTCTTGGTCTGTGTGGAGTTTGTATAGCAGACACACCTGAGACACCTGGGCATACCTGAGCTGTGCAGCTACTTGCTGAGACTTAAAAGCACAACCCCTGTGGGCATCTTATTTTCAAATTCATGGGACACAACCCCTCAGTCACAATCCTCTCTCTTTTCATGCAACTAAATACTACCTCAAAGCTGGCTCGCCTCGCCACCTCCTGTGCCTTTCTCCTGAGTCGTGTGTGTGTAGTGTGTGAGCCTACAGGGTGTGTGTTTATACAGTATGTGCAAACATGAAAAGTCCATGCTGACCCATTATGTTGTTGTTGGTCGTTGTTATGCCTATTCTTTTTACACAGGCATTTAGCCAACGTTTAGCCAGCGTTGACTGAATGTTACTGATATGTGACCTGTTGGACTTGCACCTGCCTCTGTGGATGACTGTGGACGATCTTTCACCCAGAACTGTCAACAGGCTCACTGAAATGTTTGGTTTTGTTGTTTTAAGAGAGTCTATGAGATTCTTGCCGTAATGAAAAGCGCTATACAAATTCAATCTATTATTATTATTATTATAATAAACACTGAGTGTACAAAACATTAAGAACACGTTCCTAATATTGAGTTGCACCCCTTTTGCCCTCAGAACAGCCTCAATTAATCAGGGCATGGACTCTACAAGGTGTTTAAAGCATTTCACAGGGATGCTGGCCCATGTTGACTCTAATGCTTCCCACAGTTGTGTCAAGTTGGCTGGATGTCCTTTGGGTGGTGGACCATTCTTGAGTCACACGGCAAACTGTTGAGCGTGAAAAACCCAACAGCATTGCAGTTCTTGACACAAACTGGTGCGCCTGGCACCTACTACCATAACCCGTTCAAAGGCACTTAAATATTCTGTCTTGCCCATTCACCCTCTGAATGGCACACATAAACAATCCATGTCTCAATTGTCTCAAGGCTCAAAAATCTTTCTTTAACCTGTCTCCTCTCCTTCATCTACACTGATTGAAATGGATTTAACAAGTGACATCAATAAGGGATCATAGCTTTCACCTGGATTCACCTGGTCAGTCTATGTCATGGAAAGAGCAGGTGTTCATAACGTTTTGTACACTCAGTGAATTATTGCTATGTGCTTGAATGCATACCTAGACATGCGTGATTGCTACATCAAATAAAATGTTTTCATCAATGAAACCGCTTCCAAATGAAATAATCAGAAGTACTTGTAATGTTTGACTGAATTTGATTGACGACTGATTGCATAACTATCTGAAGAGGTCAGCCTTTCTGCAGTGTGACAGTAATAAATGTAAAATGTAACGTAGGTGGAGCCTTGCAAGGAGCACAGGGGTTCACTATGTCCCAAGGACGTACAGTTGAAGTCAGAAGTTTACATACACCTTAGCCAAATACATTTAAACTCAGTTTTTCACAATTCCTGACATTTAATCCTAGTAGAAATTCCCTGTCTTAGGTCAGTTAGGATCACCACTTTATTTTAAGAATGTGAAATGTCAGAATAATAGTAGAGAGAATGATTTATTTCAACTTTTATTTCTTTCATCACATTCCCAGTGGGTCAGAAGTTTACATACACTCAATTAGTATTTGGTAGCATTGCCTTTAAATTGTTTAACTTGGGTCAAACGTTTCGGGTAGCCTTCCACAAGCTTCCCACAATAAGTTGGGTGAATTTTGTCCCATTCCTCCTGACAGAACTGGTGTAACTGAGTCAGGTTTGTAGGCCTCCTTGCTCACACACGCTTTTTCAGTTCTGCCCACACATTTTCTATAGGTTTGAGGTCAGGGCTTTGTGATGGCCACTCCAATACCTTGACTTTGTTGTCCTTAAGCCATTTTGCCACAACTTTGGAAGTATGCTTGGGGTCATTGTCCATTTGGAAGACCCATTTGTGACCAAGCTTTAACTTCCTGACTGATGTTTTGAGATGTTGCTTGAATATATCCACATAATTTTCCTTCCTCATGATGGCATCTATTTTGTGAAGTGCACCAGTCCCTCCTGCAGCAAAGCACCCCCACAGCATGATGCTGCCACCCCAGTGCTTCACGGTTGGAATGGTGTTCTTCGGCTTGCAAGTAGCCCCCTTTTTCCTCCAAACATAACGATGGTCATTATGGCCAAACAGTTATAGTTTTGTTTCATCAGACCAGAGGACATTTCTCCAAAAAGTACGATCTTTGTCCCCATGTGCAGTTGCAAACCGTAGTATGGCTTTTTATGGCGGTGTCACGATCGTCTAATGAGGGAGACCAAGGCGCAGCGTTGCGAGCGAACATATTTACTTTAATAGTTAAAGCACCACACTCAAAATACAAAACAATAAACAACGAATGCGTGACGTCTATGGTACAACACGAAACCACACGAACAAAATCCCACAACCCGAAAGAAAAACATACAGATTAAATATGGCTCCCAATCAGAGACAACCAGCCGACAGCTGACACTCGTTGCCCCTGATTGGGAGTCACACCGTCAAACATAGAAAATAGACAACCTAGAACACCCACCAAAGAAACAGAAAACATAGAATGAACACACCCTGGCTCAACATAATGAGTCCCCGAGCCAGGGTGTGACAGTACCCCCCCCTAAAGGCGCGGACTGCGACCGCGCCTAAATACGAGCAAAAACAGGGGAGGGCTGGGTGGGCATTCCTCCTCGGCGGCGGCTCCGGCTCCGGGCTTGATCCCCACTTCCTCTCCAACCCCCCAAAGTACCCCTGGTCCTGTCTAGCCCCGCTGGCCGGAGCCGGACTGACGACACGCGCCCCTGGCTTGGTGCGTGGAACAGGAACGGACCGGACCGGGCTGACGATACACACCCCTGGCTTGGTGCGTGGAGCAGGAATGGACCGGAATGGGCTGGCGACGCGCTCCGTAGGCTTTGTGCGTGGAGCAGGGACAGGCCGGGCTGGGCTGGCGACGCACACCGTAGGCTTTGTGCGTGGAGCAGGAACAGGCCGGGCTGGGCTGGCGACGCACACCGTAGGCTTTGTGCGTGGAGCAGGAACAGGCCGGGCTGGGCTGGCGACGCACACCGTAGGCTTTCTGCGAGAAGCTTGGATGGGCCGAACTGGGCTGGCGACGCGCACCACAGACTCGGTGCGGAGCGCAGGAACGGGCCGGGCTGGGCTGTCGACGCACACCGTAGGTTTGGTGCGGGGAGCAGGAATAGACCGGACCGTACTGGGGACACACACCACTGGCTCTACACCGGGATCTGGAACGGGCCGGACCGGACTGGCAACACACGCCAGTACCTCTCGCCGTGCCTCTACGCCTTCCATCCCCTCTTCTACCAGTGGCCCCCGTAACCTGGCGGCCTCCTCTGCAACCCCGCTGGACCACTCCATAGCGGCCTCCTGCTGCCCCGACGTCGTGAGCCCCCCCCTAAAAAATTTCTGGGGGTCTCTCCTCCCCGTGGACCAGGCCTCCAACATTCTCGCCCACCTCTCGCTCCTCTGTCTCCAACCCTCTTCACTCAGCTCCTCAATGGGCTTGACCCAGTCGAAGCTGCCACGGAGATCTATTAGCGATGGCTCCTGGACACGCTGCTTGGTCTGGTCTTGGTGGGATTTTCTGTCACGATCGTCTAATGAGGGAGACCAAGGCGCAGCGTTGCGAGCGAACATATTTACTTTAATAGTTAAAGCACCACACTCAAAATACAAAACAATAAACAACGAATGCGTGACGTCTATGGTACAACACGAAACCACACGAACAAAATCCCACAACCCGAAAGAAAAACATACAGATTAAATATGGCTCCCAATCAGAGACAACCAGCCGACAGCTGACACTCGTTGCCCCTGATTGGGAGTCACACCGGCAAACATAGAAAATAGACAACCTAGAACACCCACCAAAGAAACAGAAAACATAGAATGAACACACCCTGGCTCAACATAATGAGTCCCCGAGCCAGGGTGTGACAGGCGGTTTTGGAACAGTGGCTTCTTCCTTGCTGAGCGGCCTTTCAGGTTATGTCGATATAGGACTTGTTTTACTGTGGATATAGATACTTTTGTACCTGTTTCCTCCAGCATCTTCACAAGGTCCTTTGCTGTTGTTCTGGGATTGATTTGCACTTTTCGCACCAAAGTATGTTCATCTCTAGGAGACAGAACGCGTCTCCTTCCTGAGCGATATGATGGCTGCGTGGTCCCATGGTGTTTATACTTGCGTACTATTGTTTGTACAGATGAACGTGGTACCTTCAGGCGTTTGGAAATTGCTCCCAAGGATGAACCAGACTTGTGGAGGTCTACAATGTTTTTTCTGAGTTCTTGGCTGATTTCTTTTCATTTTCCCATGATGTCAAGCAAAGAGGCACTGAGTTTAAAGGTAGGCCTTGAAATACATCCACAGGTACACCTCCAATTGACTCAAATGATGTCAATTAGCCTATCAGAAGCTTCTAAAGCCATGACATCATTTTCTGGAATTTTCCAAGCTGTTTTTTAGACAGTCAACTTAGTGTATGTAAACGTCTGACCCACTGGAATTGTGATTCATTGAATTATATGTGAAATAATCTGTCTGTAAACAATTGTTGGAAAAATTACTTGCACAAAGTAGATGTTCTAACCGACTTGCCAAAACTATAGTTTGTTAACAAGAAATTTGTGGAGTGGTTGAAAAACAAGTTTTAATGACTCCAACCTAAGTGTATGTAAACTTCCGACTTCAACTGTATATTACAGCAGGTCCAAGCAATCGCATGTAATCACAAAGTGGTTAGGCATAGCTTAAAAAATGTGTTCTTGCATGTCCATTTATCCCTCTGGCACAACTTTCACCCGTGACACCCACAATTTCCTCAAGCCCCAGTCAGATCACCTCAATACTACTCCTTCAAGGATGCATCTCACCTGTGTTTGTGTATGACAGCATTGAAGAGCTTGCCGTCCCTCCAGCTGGTGGTGAAGTTGTCGCAGCGCATCCCGTGGTATCCCTCCACCATGCGCTGGGACCACAGAAGCAGCTTCTCCTTGGCCGTCATGTCGTCTGACTGGCCATTCACCTGGATGTCAGAGATCTGGGGGAGGGGGGTATTGGTAAGCATTTGTATTGGTAAGGCAGGCTATAAAGTATACTTTAATCATGGTCCTGAGGATCCATAGGGTATACAGGCTTTTGTTCAATCCTAGTAGTACTAACAAATCTGATTCAACTAGTTTGATGATTAGTTATTTATTTGAATCAGGTGTGTTAGAACTGGGCTTGAACAAAAGCTAACACACCTTGTAGGTCCCCAGGACTGAATAACACTGTTATAGATGGTTCAAGGTGTGGTGGGTTGGGTTGGCAAAAAGGCTGGCAAAAAGGGTTATGGGCTGTGGATAAAGGGCACATAATGGAAGAGAACTGTGCGTGCTTTGGTATAATCACTATGCATTGATTTGAAGTTCAAAGGCAGGGAAACCTTTTTCCAATAAGTAAATTGACTTGATCCAGGCTTAAGATGACTCACATTTTCAACCTCAATAACCAACAGTCAGATGTAAAATGCACATGAAATCCATTGCAGTTTGCTGCTGTGAAAACACTCCAAACAGCTTTTGTTCCCGGTTGCAGAATCCAACTTGTGAGAGTAAAAACATCCATGGGGCACATAATTTAATAAGGTGCAGTGAATTCCTGCAGCGAATTCCTGCTTAAACAAAGCTGGAAGATAAAGCTATGAGTCATAGGTACAGCCTCGAGAATCTCTCAGCAGTCTATTTCCCTCTGGTGAGAGAGATGATAACTATTGCATCTACAGGAAGCTTCAACAATACTGAGGTAACGTAAGGTAAATGGTGGAGCTGTGTTTACTTTAGTGTTTCATTGCTGTTGCTCAATGCTCAATACTACGTCTGCATTGCATACTGTGTTCAATGCATTGTTAAATAATGAATGTTTGCCTTGCTAGAAATACAATGCATAACCCAAACCCCTCTCAACCACCAAAAATAAAACAATAATCAAAGAAAAAACGGATGATCCATGGAGTAATGGTTTATTTTAGTCATAACAATACATTTTATAGAGGCTTATTGGAACAAGAAAGTTTGCTTTATGACCAATGTGACATTTTCAATGTTTAGCCGGTGGTGGCACACTGTCAGTGGTTCTAATACCACTTTCAGGCTTTTTTGAAGGAAAGGGTGGAGAGAGGAAAAATTTTACCATCCCTCAAAGCCTTACCATCCCTCTCTCTTCTTCTCTGTAGTGGGGGAAACCCCACTTCTATGTAGGTACTCATTATGTGTGTGCAAAGCTGTCATCAAGGCAAAGGGTGGCTATTTGAAGAATCTCAAATATAAAATATATTTTGATTTGTTTAAAACATTTTTGGTTACTACATGATTCCATATGTGTTATTTCATAGTTTTGATGTCTTCACTATTATTCTACAATGTAGAAAATAGTACAAATTAAGAAAAACCCTTGAATGAGTAGGTGTTCTAAAACTTTGGACCGGTAGTGTACACCACACGGAAACATCAATTTGCCTTTATGAGAATCTAGAGAGATTCCCACTTCCTTCTACTTCATCAAGGAATCAAACCGTAAACAAAAGGATAATCATGTTGTCCCTATGGGCCTAAGTAGTGCATTACATAGGGAATAGGGTGCCATTTGGGATGAATTCAGATTCCTCTCATCAAAAAATAAGTATAGCCAACGGTGGGACTCGTTGAAATGTTTAGACCTGCTACCTACCCATCTCTCTTTTCTGCCTCCCCACAGGAAACACTGAGTCACCCTGGAGTGGACGGAATCCCACATGCTGGTATAACCCAGTACACCAGTATCCCAGTATAACCAGTATATCCATTATAGAAACAAAGAATCTCCTTGTGCCCTTCTTTTTCCATTTTTCAATATACTCTCAACTGCTAAACAAATAACCAAATACTCCCGGCATCTCCCATTTGAGGAGAAATAATTTCCATCCTTTATTGAGTTATATTGAGGATGAAAACCTCACATGGTATTCAAATGAGTGTTTCAATATGTTTAAAAAAAATGTTTAGTCTGAAATCCCTCAGACATATAGGAATCATGAGTAGTAGAGTTGTGTATAGACAGCGGGTGCCAAACGCTAAAAGAGGCCGATTTGTAATAATTGAATTGGACTCATATCTGCTCTGTCAACAGAAGCGGTGGGCTTGGAGTTGATTAGTTGGCCCAGAGAAGTCATAGTGTACTACTGTAGCTTTCCCTACTACTGCAGGCAAGGATCAGAAATTATCCTTCCAGGTGAAACATACACTACATGGCCAAAAGTATGTGGACACCCATTCAAATTAGTGGATTCAGCTATTTAAGCCACACCCGTTGCTGACAGGTGTATAAAATCCAGCACACCGCCATGCAATCTCCACAGACAAACATTGGCAGTAGAATGGCCCATACTGAAGAGCTCAGTGACTTTCAATGTGACACTGTAATAGGATGCCACCTTTCCAACAAGTCAGTTTGTAAAATGTATGCCCTGCTAGAGCTTCCCCGGTCAACTGTAAGTGCTGTTATTGTGAAGTGGAAACGTCTAGGCGCAACAAAGGCTCAGCTGCAAAGTGGTAGGCCACACAAGCTCACAGAACGGGACTGCCGAGTGCTAAAGCGCGTAACGTGCAAACATCGTCTGTCATCGGTTGCAACACTCACTACCGAGTTCCAAACTGCCTCGGGAAGCAAAGTCAGCAAAATAACTGTTCGTCGGGAGCTTCATGAAATAGGTTTCCATGGCCGAGCAGCCGCACACAAGCCTAAGATCACCATGCGCAATGCCAAATGTTGGCTAGAGTGGTGTAAAGCTTGCCGCCATTGGAGCAGTGGAAACGCGTTCTCTGGAGTGATGAATCACGCTTCACCATCTGGCAGTCCGACGGACCAATCTGGGTTTGGCGGATGCCAGGAGAACGCTACCTGCCCGATTGCATAGTGCCAAATGTAAAGTTTGGTGGAGGAGGAATAATGGTCTGGGGCTGTTTTTCATGGTTCGGGCTAGGCCTCTTAGTTCCATTGAAGGGAAACACTACAGTTGACAGTGCATTCGGAAAGTATTCAGACCCCTTGACTTTTTCCACATTTTGTTACGTTACAGCCTTATTCTAAAATTGATTAAATTGTTTATTTACCCTCATCAATCTACACCCAATACCCCATAATGACAAAGCAAAAACAGGTTTTTAGACATTTTTGCAAATTTATTAAAAATACAAAGCAGAAATACCTTATTTACATAAGTATTCAGAGGACTCTGAATACTTTCCGAATGCACAGTACAATGACATTCTAGACGATTCTGTGCTTCCAACTTTGTGGCAATAGTTTGGGGAAGTCCCTTTCCTGTTTCAGCATGACAATGCACAAAGCAAGGTTCATACAGAAATGGTTTGCCGAGATTGGTGTGGAAGAACTTGACTGGCCTGCACAGAGCCCTGAACTCAGCTCCAGCCAGGCCTAATCGCCCAACATCAGTACCCGACCTCACTAATACTCTTGTGGCTGAATGGAAGCCACAGCAACAATCCAACATCTAGTGGAAAGCCTTCCCAGAAGAGTGGAGGCTGTTACAGCAGCAAAAGGGGGGCCGACTCCATATTAATGCCCATGATTTTGGAATGAGATGTTCGACAAGCAGGTGTCCACATATTTTGGCAATGTAGTGTAACAAACAGGTTATAGGATGTTTTACCTGGATCCCATCACCCTGGCCTAGGCCTATCATTTGAATAATAATAAACATATTGGTTCGTGTTATGTTATGAGTGAAGCATGACATACCTGGAAGTGAAGGATGATGGTCCATATCAGGCCCAGGGTCAGCTTGGGGTTTCCATCAGCGATGTCATCATTCCTGATGTTGACAAGTTTAACCTGTCACAAATGGGACACAAGTATGTATAACCATCTTATAGAAAATTGGCCCTCTAGATTAATTTATATCTAAATGGTTAGCTAATGGATTATAAGGTATTGGGACTATTAGCTTATATTATAAGAATCAGTTCAATTGAGAAATGACATTTTACTTAAAAAACATAGATATATTGATGTATTTAATCATCACACTGTACCTGTCTGTGTTTGAGGAAGTCCAGTGCGATCTGTACATTCTGCAGTTTGTGGAAGCGCATGCGCCCCTTCTCCCTGGGCTGTAAGATGTGAGAAGAGATTGAACTTTAGAGAGAGAGGAGAACACACATACATTACCAGTAGGACAGGGAAGAGCAGGCCCCATGACTGGAGACAAGGTATTTCTGACCGAGAACACATTTTATATGGATTTCAATCAGCAGTCTTGGTCCTATATAATCAACCACATTGAATGGACATTGAATTTGAGATTTGACTCCAAATTTGGTTGAGTTGTGGTCAGAGCTAAACATAGTATCTCATGACTGTCCAGTCACCCCTTAATTATACATCAGGCTTTACATGGCCCTATTGAAAAGCATTGGAACGAGATCCAGAGGCATGAACATTCTAAGGAGAATGGGTGAAGATGAGAATGTTAAACCTGGACCTCTAGCTACTGGATTCCTCCAATCATCAATCACTTCCATTGCTTGCTCCAAGAGACTAACTTCATCCATGTTCAATGCATCGATCTAAACATTACAAAATCTAAACATTACATAAAAGTGACCCTTGGAGTTGGACCCTGAGACAAACTAGCATTTTTTTTGCAGATAAATTATACCTAAATGACATTATCACACTTTGATCTAAAACACAATCCATTCTTACCAAGCAGATACCTGGAGCCAAGCAGCAGTGATTAGAGTCTTTATGCTTCTCAATCTCTAGATAATAGTCAAGTGTGCAGGAGACCTGCATATCCGGCCACCATTACATGCATAGGTGCAGCAAGTCACAAGCTCTCAGCCAATCACAAGCTCATCTACCGTACATGTCAATCTCTTATTGGCTTGCAGTGATGTCACGCTGGCCTCGGTTTACAGTAAGTTGGGTCAAATGACCGGATGCCTGTATCTCTTTCTGAGACCTCGTACTAATATGCTAAGACTTGGATGGAACTAGCAGACACAGATGGAACTAGCAGACTGAACATGAAATGATCTAGTGCTGAAACTAAAGGAAATATCCCAGTGTTTCTAATAAGTAACTAAAGATGGCTAAATACCTTCCAAGGCACCTACTCCACTCACATAGCTTATCAAAGCACAACGACTAGGCACTACCAGTAATTTACCACACAATATCCCCAAATCCATTGGGAAAACACAAAAAAATATAATCTTACATCTGCATTCCCTACTCAATGACCCTGAGTGCAAGCTTATTTTGTCTTGGAGAGCATCACAAATGGCACCCTATTCCCTATATAGTGTACTATGTTTGACCAGGGCCCATAGGGTTCTGGTTAAAAATGGTGCATTATGTAGGGAATAGGGTGCAATTTGGTACAAAGCCCTAGTCTCTGCAAGCTCTTCGACAGATGGAAGAGGACAATGACGTTGCGGACACAGAGACAAGGAAGTGACATCAACATGCACAACCCGGCAGCCACCTGGGGGAGTGACAGATGCCACGCCCGAGGAGGCGCTACACAGTCCAGACCCACTCACCAACCGCGAGTTCCTGACAACGTCACGCTCCCTCAGCTACCACAGCAAGAGCATGGCAAGAGAAGAGGCAGAGGCAAAGGGGGCAAAGGTCAGGGCAAGACAGGAATTAGAAAAGGAAAAACAGGGGTCAAACAAGTGCAAAAAGGTTAGAGAAGCAAATTATGAAATTAGTGTTAAATTAATGCTACGAGATATTACTTAAAAAGTGCATTATTACCAAAAACTACTTCAAATCAGTGCTATGGATAGGTTAAGTCAAATTGTGAGGCATTCTTAAGCATGTACTGTATCGTTTGTGGACCACATACTGTATCTCCGCAAGTTTCAACACATGCAAGAAGGTGGTGAAAACAAAACCTACCAGCCCAGGTTGTGTATTACATGTGACGTCAAGTATAGGAAAGATGTAATGACTAATTAAAAGATTATAGTATAATGGACTGAAAAGCAACTGATGTGAGTAGGATGGGGAAAAGGGACAGAAGGAAATGAGAGGTTGGGAAGGAAGGTTGGATAGGTTGTAGCAGAGACAGAAGTCCTTCTCCTTCCAGTCAGAGGGCAAAGGTCACAGGGACTCACCAGTGTCTCTCCAGAGAGCACCTCCAGCAGAGAGATGAGGTTGTGTCCATCTCGAAGGTCCTCGTACAGGTCAGTGATATGTCGCTGGGCCTGGGGAGGGGAGAGGTCAAGAGAAACAGTTAGAGACGAGTCACAGAGAGACACAATGGATTCATTATGGTTCAATGCACTTGAAGTTAAAGGGTTTCTCTGTTATCTATAAGCTGATCAGCTGTGAGGAATGAATGCTGCTTACGTACTGTAAATACTCATGATCTAACAAGACCGGTGCTCAGAAAAGCTCTGTTCGTGAAGGAACAACACTGTTCTTGACAATATAATCTGGGATTAGGGATCAAACATAGAGCCCTGTAATTTTCCATAATAACTAATAACCAAGACTTTTGCTATTTCAGTCATTCAGGCTAAAACACTCTTGCAATCACTACTTTGGCAGACTGGAGTCACCATTGTATTTGAAACTAAAGAAACCTCCAGTAATGCAACAGTATCCCTGTCGGTATCAGTCAGTAACTCTTGATTGTATTCATACTATACTACTCACACACAGCAAAATCATCACACCAAAAAATCTAACATCAACAAGTGTTTGTCTGAGAAGCTGAAGATGCATTGCTTAGATCAGTGGTTCCCAACTTTTTTAGGTTACTGTACCACCAACTGCATTTTGCTCTGCCTGTAGTACCCTCTCATGTGCATTTTACATGTTCTATGTTCTCATGAGGCTTCTCAAGTACCCCCTGTGGATAGGCCAAGTACCCCTAGGGGTCCTACTACCCCTGGTTGGGAACCACTGGCTTAGATGAGTGACCTGAATAGTTTCCATTAAACATTTTGATTTACAGATTGATAAAACTACTTGTTGATCTTCTTATCCTAATTTGATTTAGCTAATAGCGATGCAATTTATAGAAAGGGTCACACAACCTCCTGCTGTAGCAATTACAGTGACTTTGTCCAAAGTCAAACATTTCAATGCCTCTTGAGAGTTAATTTGATAATAGGGTATCTTTCATATGCCACCTAATAAAATAGCACTTAGTCCTAAGCAATTGCCAGATTGGTTTGATGGGACATGCTTTGGTCGGCCACTTTGTTCTGCAGGCAGGCTGAAGCAGCGATTACATTAGGAAGATAAGAGAGGAGGGAAAGAGACACAGATAGGACAGAGGTTAGATATTTAGGTGCCCGGCTAGAACGCCTGAGGAGAGGAGCCGCAAAAGAACCCATGCAGAAAATAATGCGTGTCCACTCAGCACTCTGAACAGGCCTGCTCACAGACAATCTGCACCTACCTCTGCTCTCCAGTGCTGATGGAAGGATGGAAAGACAGGATGAGAAATGGAGGAGAGGAAAGAAGAATGAGCAAAAAGGTGGACGTTCATTTGACTGACAGAGAGAGATGTTAAAAACAGTGTGAGATTGTTTGGGTAAAATATACAGTACTGTCTTGCGTTGCTCAATGCCTTTGTTTTCGTATTATGCCAATCATATGTAAAATGTATGCACTGAACTTAAATCTATATTTCACCATAGTGAAAAAGACCATAGGAAGAGTGAGATGTCCCACTTGATTTTGCCTGAACAACAGCCCTCAGGAATGAGAGGTGTCTGACTGGCAAGGATCCACAACTAGACCTGTGTACCTCCCTCCCAGTTAATCCCATGGTCCTATTCTGAACAAGGCCCAAACAGCCCTGGGGCAGCCAAAGCCCTGACCCACACAGGTCCACTAGATCCACATGAGAGGGATTTCCTTTACAATGGAGAACCAACTCAGGACAAAACCTGCTGGCTCTGAGTCACCAACCGTCCCCGTGCCAGAGGATATCTACGCCCCTCTCGCATGAATCACACAGACATTTCACACAGAGTTTGACACACTTGAGTTCACCGGTGAAAAACAAAAAGAAGAGGGAAATAGAGACTCCTCACTTTGACTTCTCTGATTCAGCAATGAGATATAGTACAGCAGACTGCTAGGGTGCTTTAGTTAGTTGGTTGATTCCACATTGTTTCAAATAAGTGAAATCCCTCATTTTCTGTTCACTGACACTTACACAGTCCATATATACAGTATATTCCACCCTCTTCTGAGGAGGGTGGGATAGCAGGAGCAACTGTACATCCATACTGTAAGAGGCCCCTAGACACCCTTGCTAGGGGCCTCAGCATATACTGAGAGTAACAGAAACATCTCTTCAAGAGAAACTAATTGAAAACTCTGTAATGTGTCCCACTAGCCAGAAACCCTCACGGGTCCATCACCTCCACCCTGGTGCTCTCTCTCTCAGTCTGCCCACTCCAGGGCTATGTCCCAAATGGCACCCTATTCTCTATTTTGTGCACTACTTTTGACCTGTGCCCTATGGGGAACAGGGTGCCATTTGGGATGCACATTAGAGCCCCAGAGGCCAGACTGTCTGTGGGCCAGATGTGTGTGGAACATGACCCATGCCCAAAACTCCAGCCCATCTCGCTCTCCTTCATAGAGCTAAAGCGAGACCAGATGCTTGTGACTCACTCTCACACATAGCACAGAAATAGCATGTGTATACGTACTGCCATTGTGCTGAGAACAAAATCAAAACTGGTATGAAAATATGTTTTCAGCACAAGTAGGGTGTTTATTTTCCAAGTAGCTCCAAATCTTATTAGGAAAACTATGTGAATCATAATGGAACTGTATGGTACAAATCCATGTTTTCCAGTAAAAGTACAGTGGTTTTCCAAGTCTTTTTATGCAAACCAAGCTTCCGTTTGAGGAATGTCGGATGATTCATTCTATTAATGCAGCACCAGATGCCTGTGTTTTCCTCTTCTTACCATAGACACTTGGACTTCAACAACAGGCAACCAAAAATATGTTTTTGTGACTGTCACTGTAGAAATATGACAGTGGCCTGTATGGGAACCATTGTACAGGCTCTCTAAGACATCTCAGGCCATCTGAGGTCCTTTCACTTATCTACCATTATCGTTAAGCAGACCCTGAATAGTCTGCACTTAACAAACTGCTCAAGCAGTGATCATTGTAGTAACTTGTATGTTTTATGACCCGCTGGCTGGATAAACTACCAGAGAAATGGATGCAGTAATTTGGCCATTGGCATCGTTATACAGTATAATTATGTACCGTCTACGTCAAAAGTACATTCAGAGACGGACGGTTGGACAGAACATCAAATATTTGACCAAATTTGCTTCTAATCAACCTAATGGTCAACATTTGTTTTTTCCTATCTTGCAGTTTTCAAAGTCGCTATCATGTGAACAGCTGTGGATTGAGTGAACCAAGATGAGTCAAGAAATATGCTGTAATTGCAGCAATTAAATAATAAAAAACGATTTACTGCTCATATGATCAATTGAAGCCTTTTTAAAAGCTTTTGGTCAACAGTTTGCCAAGAGGCAGAGAGCATGAAGCTTTGCACCGTGTGCTCTTCAGTCAGTCAGAGTATAGTGACTCATAACAGAAACATTCATCTGCTGCCACTGACAGAAAACAAGACCCTCTAGCTACGTCCCAAATGGCACCCTATTCCCTATATAGTGCACTACTTTTGACCAGGGCCCTATTCCAATGTGCATTCGGAAAGCGTTCAGACCCCTTGATGTTTTCCACATTTTGTTACGTTACAGCCTTATTCTAAAATCGATTAAATTATGTATTTTTCTCATCAATCTACACACAATACCCCATAATGACAAAGTGATAACAGGTTTTTAGATATTTTTGCAAATGTATAAAAAAAACAAAAAACAGAAATGTAGACCCTTTGCTATGAGACTCGAAATTGAGCTCAGGTGTATCCTGTTTCCATTGATCATCCTTGAGATGTTTCTACAACTTGATTGGAGTACACCTGTGGTAAATTCAATTGATTGGACATGATTTGGAAAGGCACATACCTGGTTATATAAGGTCACACAGTTAACAGCGCATGTCAGAGCAAAAACCAAGCCATTAGGTCGAAAGAATTGTCCGTAGAGCTCCGAGACAGGATTGTGTCGGGGCACAGATCTGAGGAAGGGTACCAAAAAATGTGTGCAGCATTGAAGGTCCCCAAGTACACAGTGGTCTCCATCATTCTTAAATGGAAGAAGTTTGAAACCCTCAAGACTCCTCCTAGAGCTGGCAGCCCGGCCAAACTGAGCAATCGGGGGAGAAGGCCTTGGTCAGGGATGTGACCAAGAACCCGATGGTCACTCTGACAGAGCTTCAGAGTTCCTCTGTGGAGATGGGAGAACCTTCCAGAAGGACAACCATCTCTGCAGCACTCCATCAATCAGGCCTTTATGGTAGAGTGGCCAGACGGAAGCCACTCCTCAGTAAAAGGCACATGACAGCCCACTTGGAGTTTGCCAAAAGGCACCTAAAGGACAGACCATGATAAACACATTTCTCTGGACTGATGAAACCAAGATTGAAATCTGGCACCATCCCTATGGTGAAGCATGGTGGTGGCAGCATCATGCTGTGGTGATGTTTTTCAGCGGCAGAGACTGGGAGACTAGTCAGGATTGAGGGAAAGATAAACTGAGAAAAGTACAGAGAGATCCTTGATGACAACCTGCTCCAAAGCGCTCAGGACCTCAGACTTGGGCGAAGGTTCACCTTCCAACAGGACAACATCCCTAAGCACACAGCCAATATAACGCAGGAGTAGCTTCGGGACAAGTCTCTGATATGTCCTTGAGTGACCCAGCCAGAGCCCGGACTTGAACCCAATCTAACATTTCTGGAGAGACCTGAAAATAGCTGTGCAGCGACGTTCCCCATCCAACCTGACAGAGCTTGAGAGGATCTGCAGAGAAGAATGGAAGAAACTCCCCAAATACAGGTACAGTGGGGGGAAAAAGTATTTAGTCAGCCACCAATTGTGCATGTTCTCCCACTTAAAAAGATGAGAGAGGCCTGTAATTTTCATCATAGGTACACGTCAACTATGACAGACAAATTGAGAAAAAAAAATCCAGAAAATCACATTGTAGGAGGTTTAATGAATTTATTTGCAAATTATGGTGGAAAATAAGTATTTGGTCACCTACAAACAAGCAAGATTTCTGGCTCTCACAGACCTGTAACTTCTTCTTTAAGAGGCTCCTCTGTCCTCCACTTGTTACCTGTATTAATTGCACCTGTTTGAACTTGTTATCAGTATAAAAAACACCTGTCCACAACCTCAAACAGTCACACTCCAAACTCCACTATGGCCAAGACCAAAGAGCTGTCAAAGGACACCAGAAACAAAATTGTAGACCTGCACCAGGCTGGGAAGACTGAATCTGCAATAGGTAAGCAGCTTGGTTTGAAGAAATCAACTGTGGGAGCAATTATTAGGAAATGGAAGACATACAAGACCACTGATAATCTCCCTCAATCTGGGGCTCCACGCAACATCTCACCCCGTGGGGTCAAAATGATCACAAGAACGGTGAGCAAAAATCCCAGAACCACACGGGGGGACCTAGTGAATGACCTGCAGAGAGCTGGGACCAAAGTAACAAAGCCTACCATCAGTAACACACTACGCCGCCAGGGACTCAAATCCTGTAGTGCCAGACGTGTCCCCCTGCTTAAGCCAGTACATGTCCTGGCCCGTCTGAAGTTTGCTAGAGTGCATTTGGATGATCCAGAAGAGGATTGGGAGAATGTCATATGGTCAGATGAAACCAAAATAGAACTTTTTGGTAAAAACTCAACTCGTCGTGTTTGGAGGACAAAGAATGCTGAGTTGCATCCAAAGAACACCATACCTACTGTGAAGCATGGAGGTGGAAACATCATGCTTTGGGACTGTTTTTCTGCAAAGGGACCAGGACGACTGATCCGTGTAAAGGAAAGAATGAATGGGGCCATGTATCGTGAGATTTTGAGTGAAAACCTCCTTCCATCAGCAAGGGCATTGAAGATGAAACGTGGCTGGGTCTTTCAGCATGACAATGATTCCAAACACAATGCCCGGGCAACGAAGGAGTGGCTTCGTAAGAAGCATTTCAAGGTCCTGGAGTGGCCTAGCCAGTCTCAAGATCTCAACCCCATAGAAAATCTTTGGAGGGAGTTGAAAGTCCGTGTTGCCCAGCGACAGTCCCAAAACATCACTGCTCTAGAGGAGATCTGCATGGAGGAATGGGCCAAAATACCAGCAACAGTGTGTGAAAACTTTGTGAAGACTTACAGAAAACATTTGACCTGTGTCATTGCCAACAAAGGGTATATAACAAAGTATTGAGAAACTTTTGTTATTGACCAAATACTTATTTTCCACCATCATTTGCAAATAAATTCATAAAAAATCCTACAATGTGATTTCCTGGACTCATTTTGTCTGTCATAGTTGACGTGTACCTATGATGAAAATTACAGGCCTCTCTCATCTTTTTAAGTGGGAGAACTTGCACAATTGGTGGCTGACTAAATACTTTTTTTCCCCACTGTATGCCAAGCTTGTAGCGTCATACCCAAGAAGACATGAGGCTGCAATCGCTCCCAAAGGTGTTTCAACAAAGTACTGAGTAAAGGGTCTGAATACTTATGTAAATGTGTTATCCATTTTTTCTTTTTATTAGTAGCAAAAAAATAATACAAATCTGCTTTTGCTTTGTCAATATGGGGTATTGTGTGTAGATTGATGAGGGAAAAAAACTATTTAATACATTTTAGAATAAGGCTGTAACGTAACAAAATGTGGAAAAAGTCAAGGGGTCTGAATACTTTCTGAATGCACTGTATAGGGAATAGGGTGCCATTTGGGATGCACACACTATCTTTACCATGTAATGAGTAAACCTTCTTTAATATTTTAGCAGTATATCCCATTCCAGTTGAGAATGTAATGTATCTATCCAAATCAGAGCCACAGAGCACAGATAATGGCTTAGTTACAAGTGATTTCTTCAATGAGACTCTAAGCTGGTATGTTGTCCTGTGTATCACATAGATATGTACAGTTGAAGTCGGAAGTTTACATACACTTAGGTCGGAGTAATTAAAACTCGTTTTTCAACCACTCCACACATTTCTTGTTAACAAACTATAGTTTTGGCAAGTCGGTTAGGACCTCTACTGTGTGCATGACACAAGTAATTTTTCCAACAATTGTTTACAGACAGATTATTTCACTTATAATTCACTGTATCACAATTCCAGTAGGTCAGAAGTTGACTGTGCTTTTAAACAGCTTGGAAAATTCCAGAAAATGATGTCATGGCTTTAGAAGCTTCTGATAGGCTAATTGACATGATTTGAGTCAATTGGAGGTGTACCTGTGGATGTATTTCAAGGCCTAGCTTGACATCATGGGAAAATGAAAAAAAATCAGCCAAGACCTCAGAAAAAAAATGGTAGACCTCCACAAGTCTGGTTCATCCTTGGGAGCAATTTCCAAACGCCTGAAGGTATCACGTTCATCTGTACAAACAATAGTATGCAAGTATAAACACCATGGGACCACGCAGCCGTCATACCGCTCAGGAAGGAGACACGTTCTGTCTCCTAGAGATGAACGTACTTTGGTGCGAAAAGTGCAAATAAATCCCAGAACAAATCAAATCAAATCAAATCTTATTGGCCACATGCGCCGAATACAACAGGTGCAGACATTACAGTGAAATGCTTACTTACAGCCCTTAACCAACAGTGCATTTATTTTAAACAAAAAAGTAAAAATAAAACAACAACAAAAAACAGCAAAGGACCTTGTGAAGATGCTGGAGGAAACAGGTACAAAAGTATCTATATCCACAGTAAAAACTAGTTCTATATCGACATAACCTGAAAGGCCGCTCAGCAAGGAAGAAGCCACTGCTCCAAAACCGCCATAAAAAAGCCAGACTACGGTTTGCAACTGCACATGGGGGACAAAGATCGTACTTTTTGGAGAAATGTCCTCTGGTCTGATGAAACAAAAATAGAACTGTTTGGCCATAATGACCACCGTTATGTTTGGAGGAAAAAGGGGGATCTTGCAAGCCGAAGAACACCATCCCAACCATGAAGCACGGGGGTGGCAGCATCATGCTGTGGGGGTGCTTTGCTGCAGGAGGGACTGGTGCACTTCACAAAATAGATGGCATCATGAGGAAGGAAAATTATATGGATATATTGAAGCAACATCTCAAGACATCAGTCAGGAAGTTCAAGCTTGGTCGCAAATGGGTCTTCCAAATGGACAATGACCCCAAGCATACTTCCAAAGTTGTGGCAAAATGGCTTAAGGACAACAAAGTCAAGGTATTGGAGTGGCCATCACAAAGCCCTAACCTCAATCCTATGGAACATTTGTGGGCAGAAATGAAAAAGCGTGTGCGAGCAAGGAGGCCTTCAAACCTGACTCAGTTACACCAGCTCTGTCAGGAGGAATGGGCCAAAATTCACCCAACTTATTGTGGGAAGCTTGTGGAAGGATACCCAAAACATTTGACCAAAGTTAAACAATTTAAAGGCAATACTACCAAACACTAATGGAGTGTATGTAAACTTCTGACCCACTGGGAATGTGATGAAATAAATAAAAGCTGAAATAAATAATTCTCTCTACTATTATTTTGACATTTCACATTCTTAAAATAGTTAAAGTTGTGATCCTAACTGACCTAAGACAGGGAATTTTTACTATGATTAAATGTCAGGAATTGTGAAAAACTGAGTTTAAATGTATTTGGCTAAGGTGTATGTAAACTTCCAACTTCAACTGTATGTGCACTGCAATGTTTTAACTCCCTTGCAGCTGCTTTCCTCTAAAATTGCTGAATGAATTATGGACCCCTATAAAATACATGGATGAGATGATCACATTGAATTGCAATGAGCTGAATCTAGTTGTGCATGTTTTTTGGGAACACCCCATTACAGCTTTGGTTATTGTAAAGTTTAGAGTAGATGAGGGATGAGCTCAAGAGTGAGGTGTTATATGTCCTCATCTTACCTTCATCAAGTGCTTGTTGACCCATTTCGTGAAGGTCTTTTTCTGTACCCGGTCCCGTTCATCTATGGGAGAGAGAGAAAGTGATGGTCAATATCAACAGCATGCAGACACTCAACTTCAACTAAGAGACCAAGAGTTATACAGATATAGAATTCTGTAGTCTTTGAGGTAATGTCTATGGGGATCACAAAAAGTGTGATAGTTCATACAGTTAAGTGGGGTGGTATGCTCACATCCATAACACATTTGTCCCAAGTACTGGATCAGAGAGGACAATAATGTAGAACAAACAAATACAAAATATATACTCTCAAAGTTTCATTGGACAGTCCTTACAATGCCTTGGCAACATATGAGGGGTGAGATGGAGTACCTTACAGTGTTACTATTTGTTGCTCAACTGGGGAAGAGCATCCTCCCTAAGTAAACATGTTCCACCTTGTAATACTGTTCTCAGGTCTGTTTTTGATTCCACCGTGTGATTATTAACTCTAGGGGACTGTCAACACATGTCTGATTATGGGGAAGAGTGAAAACTGTCCTGCTATCCCACCACATCTACCAGCAGCAGGCGTGAGTAGTACAATGTTTTCCACACAGCCTAACAAGGCACCTGATCCAAGCCTGGCAAGTCCAATGCCAAGGCAACCTAACTCTCACTTCCCTATTCAGTCTCATTCTGTACAGTAGTTTAACACAGCATTAACGTAATACAGTAGCCGGCTATATGTTCTTATCTATGCTTGAAATATAGAGACGGCTTGAGAAAGTAAACATTGACTACAACTCAATTGTATCAAAGCACAGCCTAGCATGGGAATTTAAGCTATTATTCCTTCATAAGCCATCTGTGACTTGAGAAACAGAGTTTGACTTCATCCTCAGGATAAGCTCTTAGATCAAAGCAGATCTCATGTGACAATGAGAAAGAATAGAACAATGTCAGCGCCTGGGGAGTCATAGGGCAGGGCAAAAGAGGAGAGGATGTGCCCCACCAATGCCAAATCCCTTTACTGGTACTGCCTGTGAATCACACATGCATGGTGGCTTGGAAAAACTACACCAACACAGAAGTGGCAACGTGAGGCGCCACACAAAACATTTCCTGTCGTGCCAACGCAGCATCCCCATGGCAGCCAAGTCAAATCCCCCTCAGATATGTTTTTAACAGTAAGGCTACATCCAAATGGCACTCTATTTCCTATATAGTGCACTACTTTTGACCAGGACCCATAGGACTCTGGTCAAAAGTAGTGCACTATACAGGGAATAGGGTGTCATTTGCGATACATCCTAAGAGTCCCCCTGCCGTGACACTGACTATGATCTACAGAAGCAAAGGTCAAGGTGTAACTGAAAAAAAAAAACACTTAACATTCCAAGCCCAAAGACGTTGCAGTTCAAAACATCATAATGGGAATTGAAATCCATTTATCCTGATTGTGTGTTTTTGGTTGTAAAGCTCATTTACAGTCTGGAACACTTTCCTCCGAGCCATGGCTATAGCCTTTCATAGTCTGAGATACTGAAACAAGGGTTAGAGTTAAGGGTTAGCCTTTCATAGTCTGAGATACTGAGACAGAGGTTAGAGATTAATTGGGAAGGTATCCGATCTCCTACAAAAACCTTCAGTCTACTGCCATAGTAATATATAGTGCTCTCAAAAACAGCAAGACTATTTTTATTGGTCTATTCTCTCAGCAAACATGTATTTAGTTATGGTCCACAACCGTATGTTTTAATTGGCTGTCCTAAAGTAATCTGCTAAAGTAAACTTGAGTGATACTTTAATAAAACAATAAGGCTGGACAAAACCAGTGACACATGAAGGGGTGTGGCCCTTTGATAGCCATAACATGGCAGTGCTGTGACAGTAATGGACAATGTCTCCGTTTGTATATTTTACTTACATGAAACATAAACTAACTTGGCCTAGTGGTTCATAATTACATAGACATAAACTGTCATATCCACCGACAGTTGGGTAATCGCAGGTAATCGTTTGCAATACAAACTAACAAGCGAAAGCTAAATATTTCAACACAGATACATGAGTCCCATGATTTTAGAGGAAATCATAACTAGGGAAAAAAACATCAGTTACTCAATCAAATAAAAGTTCAATAAAAGTGAAGTATTTCTACCAGATTAAACCAAGCAAAGATCTGTCTCTCTTTTTGAGAACAATTAAAACTCCAACTAGACTAGCCAAAACCATAAGACACTATGATAATTCTACCTTTCCTTCCATCGGTGGCCTTGAGCATCCCCTGGTAGTAGTATCCCTCCTCAGTGAAGACCCTGTCACTTCCCACACTATCAGTGGAGTAGGTTCTGTAAACCGGCTGCATTGACATCCCGCTGTCAGTTAGGCGCGGTTAACTCAGACTAATAACAGTAACAAATACAGTTTGTAAGGTTACTCTGCCTAGTCTCTGAAACTTCTGCTTCTCTTTATTGCTCAAAACGCTGCTTCATGAAGAGCGCAGAGAGAGCATGTAGTCAAGTGGGTGTGTTGTAGCTCAAGCCTGTGATTCCGTCCCTGCTCTCCCCTATTTCCCTCTCGCTTTCCCTTTTTTTCTTTTGCCTTTGCAAAATGCCTGCCTGCAGGCTACAATGTCAGGGCCCGTCATTCCCTGCTCTGTGTTGTGTGCACTGAAAGGGAACATCCCATATCCTTCCAGCCCAGCCCACCCAAGCCCACCCTGGCCAAACCTCAGCCTAGCCCAGCACCTCCCTGAGGGGGAGAGATGGTGGAACACATAAGGAGGCTGATAGCTAGACAGGTTTACTAGGGAAAAATACAGAACCACCATATGATTTGTATGGATACGAAACCTTCACAATTATTTCTATGGGCATTTTTAACAAAAACATTTATTCCAAAGAAATATAAATGTTTTTGTTAAAAGCGCCCATATAAATAATTGTGAAGGTTTCGTATCCATACAAATTTTTCATGAAAATACTGATGCGCTTCACCTGCAAGACAGTGTATTCTGCTTAATCCTATTCCAACGACTTGACAAACTTTCATAGGACAGCCAAAAGGGCATTTGATTTTCTAAGTTTGCAAACAGGAGCAGAAAAACAGCAAACAGTCAACGGAAGAAAAACAATCCTAGATGAGTGGACATCCCCTAATCTTACTCATGTAGGAACGGTTTAGCCATACAACCATATAGTAACGGTCCACTAGAATCTGCTGTAGCCACTTAGGGCTCCACGTGTTCTGGCCAGTGGTAAGTGTGTGGTGAGAGAGGAAGACTGTACATGCAACTAAAACCACCACAGCCCACACTGAATGAAAGGCCTGTATTATAGCAGACCAGACCAGACCAGGGGGTATAGTACAAGGCAATGGAAATGAGTCATCATCCATTCCATCAAATGGCACAATCACAAGGGAACCCTTCATTATGAACCGTCTGTTTCCATCAGTACAGAATAAGAGGGAAACCTCCATCAAGAAGTGTTTTCATCAAGGAGCCAGTACACCGTGGAGGGTTGACTTGGAGCTGACTCCAAGGCTGTGTCCCAAATAGCACCCTATTCCCTATATAGTGCTTTTGACCAGAGCTTAGGGAATATGGAGCCATTTGGGATGCAGCCCAAGACAGGAGAGAATGAATCAGTTGTAGACAGAAACAAAGTGCTGATCAGTTTCCATGTTTGACTAGAAGGGTTAATGTTATTAAGCATTTGGTTTTGATATGTTTTTTTTCTCCAAACTGATTGTAAATCTAGTACATTAGAAGAGCTTTGTTCGGTATTGCAGAGCCTGGTCTACGAAAGTAGGAAGAAAATAAATAAATAATTTAGAAGTTGGCTCCCACCCAGGCTTGCCAAACTAACCACACTGTTCATGACAAGGAAGCCAGTGTCTGGATTTAATGGGGGACATCAAAACAAGACTGACTTAGTGCTGTGAGTGTGCCTATCTTGATAAAAACATTCCATATGTCCATAACTAATGCAACAAAAAATAAATGTATCTGGTGAAAGTTTAAACTGGACATGCACTTCACTCAGAAGACAGTTATGAACTGTGTGATTTGTAAGGGTCAAGGTCATAGCACAAGTCCAGACAGACATACTAGCGGGCGGCAGCAAGCCCCCTTCTCCCTTCACAGGTCTCCACAGGTGTGTTCCATAGCACCCAAATACCTCTTACACCTTTAACCCTCGAGATCATACATCTTTCTCTTTCAAAGGGGACATTCATGATCATGAAGAAGAGCAGAGAGAATACTTTGGATGCCTGCTTAAGGCGCTGGCTTGTTTGGGCTTGAGCAGTGGGAGGTGTTGACACTGCTCTTCCGTCAGGCCCTGTATCTCTGCAAGGCAGATAAACTTAGAAAGCATGAAAAGGCCATATATTGTATATATATGAGAATTCAAAGATTAAATGTAACCTTATGCAGAACAGACAGAGAAACCTATGCCTGGAGGCGCCAAGTCAATGAACAACCACTGTCAAAAATTGTGAAGCACCCATCCCTCATGCAGATACAATGCCAAGACATGAGAGATGTGATAGAAGTTTTATTATGACAGCTTTGGCAGGAGGAGATGCCTATCACTCTATAGTACATTCCTGCATTCCTGCTCAGGGTGTAGGTGTGCGGTACCCACCCTCCCTACAGACGGGGAACCTCTTTTCCCATGATAACACACCAATGGCTACACCTCAACTCCACCGACCCACCAAATCTCTTTGCGTGTGAGAGCATGTGATGGCCATCCATAAACAATATAGGAATTTTAACAAAACACAAGAGATAATATGGCTCACACACGTACACAGCAGGTTCTGATTTATGATGTAGATGTAGGAATGCTATGAATCTTGGGGAGCTCCCTAAAGCAAGGCCAAGGTATTGAAGCCTGTGGGCATCGGAGGACAGAATCAAACTGACAAAGAACAGGCCATGATGAAAATACTAGCTAGTAAAATTCACTATTGTCATCGTTATTGCTGCAGCACAGTCTCTTGGCTTGGCAATATTTGAGTTGGAATTGATTTTTCGACCATATATGTGCCCCTGGTTTTTAATGAGAAAGAAAAAAAAACTCCAGGCCCAAACTATATTCTCATCTCATATATTATACATGTGTTATTGCATCCAAATCTACCACACAATCCTGTGACTCAAAAAAGCCACATGTGACATTGACCAGCCCAGAAACAAAAAAACATTGTTAAAAAAAAACATGGTTGTAAGTCATTGATGATGCATGCTGTGGTAAAATAATTTCCAAAGTTGGGATTGATAAAGTAATACTCTCTCTCTCTCTACTCTCGCATACACTACCGGTCAAAGGTTTTAGAACACCTACTCATTCAAGGGTTTTTCTTTATTTTTACTATTTTCTACATTGTAGAATAATAGGGAAGACATCAAAAAGTGTGCCTTGAATTCTAAATAAATCACAGACAGTGTCACCAGCAAAGCACTCCCAAACCATAGCACCTCCTCCTCCATGCTTTAGGGTGGGAAATACAAAATGCTGAGATCATCTGTTCACCCACACCGCGTCTCACAAAGACACGGCGGTTGGAACCAAAAATATCAAATTTGGACTCCAGCCTCCTCTGAACAGTTGAACTCTGTGAAGCATTTACAGTGGGGAAAAAAAGTATTTAGTCAGCCACCAATTGTGCAAGTTCTCCCACTTAAAAAGATGAGAGAGGCCTGTAATTTTCATCATAGGTACACGTCAACTATGACAGACAAATTGAGGAAAAAAATTCCAGAAAATCACATAGTAGGATTTCTAATGAATTTATTTGCAAATTATGGTGGAAAATAAGTATTTGGTCACCTACAAACAAGCAAGATTTCTGGCTCTCACAGACCTGTAACTTCTTCTTTAAGAGGCTCCTCTGTCCTCCACTCGTTACCTGTATTAATGGCACCTGTTTGAACTTGTTATCAGTATAAAAGACACCTGCCCACAAGCTCAAACAGTCACACTCCAAGCTCCACTATGGCCAAGACCAAAGAGCTGTCAAAGGACACCAGAAACAATATTGTAGACCTGCACCAGGCTGGGAAGACTGAATCTGCAATAGGTAAGCAGCTTGGTTTGAAGAAATCAACTGTGGGAGCAATTATTAGGAAATGGAAGGCATACAAGACCACTGATAATCTCCCTCGATCTGGGGCTCCACGAAAGATCTCACCCCGTGAGGTCAAAATGATCACAAGACCGGTGAGCAAAAATCCCAGAACCACACGGGGGGACCTAGTGAATGACCTGCAGAGAGCTGGGACCAAAGTAACAAAGCCTACCATCAGTAACACACTACGCCGCCAGGGACTCAAATCCTGCAGTGCCAGACGTGTCCCCCTGCTTAAGCCAGTACATGTCCAGGCCCGTGCTAGAGTGCATTTGGATGATCCAGAAGAGGATTGGGAGAATGTCATATGGTCAGATGAAACCAAAATAGAACTTTTTGGTAAAAACTCAACTCGTCGTGTTTGGAGGACAAAGAATGCTGAGTTGCATCCAAAGAACACCATACCTACTGTGAAGCATGGGGGTGGAAACATCATGCTTTGGGGCTGTTTTTCTGCAAAGGGACAAGGACGACTGATTCGTGTAAAGGAAAGAATGAATGGGGCCATGTATCGTGAGATTTTGAGTGAAAACCTCCTTCCATCAGCAAGGGCATTGAAGATGAAACGTGGCTGGGTCTTTCAGTATGACAATGATCCCAAACACACCGCCCGGGCAACGAAGGAGTGGCTTCGTAAGAAGCATTTCAAGGTCCTGGAATGGCCTAGCCAGTCTCCAGATCTCAACCCCATAGAAAATCTTTGGAGGGAGTTGAAAGTCCGTGTTGGCCAGCAACAGCCCCAAAACATCACTGCTCTAGAGGAGATCTGCATGGAATGGGCCAAAATACCAGCAACAGTGTGTGAAAACCTTGTGAAGACTTACAGAAAACGTTTGACCTGTGTCATTGCCAACAAAGGGTATATAACAAAGTATTGAGAAACTTTTGTTATTGACCAAATACTTATTTTCCACCATAATTTGCAAATAAATTCATTAAAAATCATACAATGTGATTTTCTGGATTTTTTTCCCTCATTTTGTCTGTCATAGTTGACGTGTACCTATGATGAAAATTACAGGCCTCTCTCATCTTTTTAAGTGGGAGAACTTGCACAATTGGTGGCTGACTAAATACTTTTTTTCCCCACTGTATTTGGGCTGCAATTTCTGAGGCTGGTAACTCTAATGAACTTATCCTCTGCAGCAGAGGTAACTCTGGGTCTTCCATTCCTGCGGAGGTCCTAATGAGAGCCAGTTTCATCATAGCGCTTGATGGTTTTTGCGACTGCAC